AGTTCAGCAAGGAGACTCCTTTGGAGGCTATTACATTAGTACAGGAGAAGGCGGAGGGTTGCCTCAACTAGGGCTATAAAAGCAAAAGTTATTAAAAAAAAAAATTCATTAGGTGCTGGACATATTTGTAAGTCAGACAAGAGAATTTACTGATAATTGGATACAGTAAAAGTTGAGGGAAATATAAGGTAGTAGAGGAACTTCTAACCCGGAAATAGGGAGTGAGAGGAAAACAGTCTAGTATTATCCAGTTTTGATCTGCAGCTAATTACTTGATATTTGGAGAGAAGGCATAATTTGAGTACCTAATATGTGCCAGAGAATATTTTAAAAATTTCATCTGAGTTAAATATTTTCTACTAGACCAACCCTATGAGGTGATACTATCATTATTTTAACTTTATAGATAGGAAGCAGATTCAAAGAGGTTAAGTAATCTTACCATCTCAGAGCAGGCACTTTGCAGAGATAGAAGTCAAACCTAAACACTTTACCTCCAGAAACATCACACTTTAATTACATTAACTGATAAATGAAATTATTTCATGGAAATCTTTTGTAAAATCAGGTTACTACAGCCAAGTCTACACACACAAACACACACACGTCGGTTACAAAACAAAGATATCCTAGCGCCATCTAGTGCCATCACTAAGCTCCGTTTACAAAGGAACACAGGCTTGCAGTATTAGTAAATACTGGTATAATAAGCAAAGCAATTAAGAATGTTCTTATAAACATTCTAAAAAACATTGAGTCATTTTCGCGTAGAACCATGCCTTTATCCTTTATGCATAATCAGTAAATTAGGGGTTTTCTCTTTCCACAGTCATTCATTTTATTCTTAAATTTATTTATGCATATTTATGTATTACATATAATAAGTACTCTGCACATTAACTACACTCAGTATGGTACTAGAGCTACATGACGAATTTTGGTAAATGTGAGTGAAAGTTGATGTCCAGAAAGATATTGAGGTAAATAAATGCATTTAATATGATCAAGAAATACAAAGTGTATTTTGTTCCATTTATTTATTTTTATTTCCTTTCTTCTCATTCTAGACTTATTGACTCTTCTTTTTCTAGGTGTGCGGTGTTTTTTGTTTTTTGTTTTGAGCTAGAAGCTTAGCTCATTGATTCTATGTTTCTCTACAACATAAATATTTGAAGCTACTAATTTATCTTCAATTACTGTCAGCTGCATCCCCAAATCTTGGCATGCAGTATTTTCTAAATTCCTTGTGATTTATTATTTATCTGTGAACCATATAAACATATAATTTTAAATTTTCAAATAGTTTGGATTCATTCAATATCTTTTTAATTATTAATTTGAAGTTAATTGTTTTGTAGTGAATAAACGAATTCACAGACCAGCAAATTAAAGGAAAAATCTCAATCATGTACTATTCCAACAACATAAAGTCCTCACTATTGGGAAGGAGCTGCAGGTGTATATGATAGAGGTTGAAGCAGCAGATCCAGAAAGTAAAAAACGTCCAAACAGAAAAGCCTACGAGGGAGCAAGTCCTCTACTTCATGTGTAAAGAGTCAGAATAGAATCCACGGGACAATAATCCATGTAGTTTTGGACAATAATCCATGTAGTTTTGGACAATAATCCATGAACTATAATCCATGTAGTTTTGAGTGCAAGTACCAAATGTGCTTGACTTAATTCTTAAAACATCTATGCAAAGTACAATTGATTTACAGGAAAGAAAGTTGAGGGTAAGGTAATAAAATTACTTAATAAATTTTAATTAAAATTAGTAATTAGATCTACTGGAGACTTTGACAGCTTCTCTACATGAATCTTATTTTTTAAAACACACCCCCCCCAAGATTACCCACCTCATTACTTCTTTTCTGAGGGACCTACCTTTCTGAATGGCGGATTGGCAGGGCTTCTCCAGAGAAACAGAAACAAGAGTCATTTCTTGTGCAGAGAATTCCACCCTGGAGCCAGGAAAGTTTTCTCAGCACTAGAAAACCCCTCAGGCCGCTGCAGCGCTCTAGGTCCTGTGAAGCCCGGAGGTCCGGTGAGATCCTGTGAGATCCTGTGAGATCCCGCAAAGTCCCGCAAAGTCCCACAAGGTTCTGTGAAGTTGCACGAGATCCCACCTGAGCTCTGATTTTCTCTTGCAGCGTGGGTATCCACCCAGCACCTCAAGCCTGCTTAGTGCATCTCAGTCCATCCTCTCCCTAACCCAGCATCCACCAAAAAAATTGAAGTTTCTGTCTGAGATAGAGATTTTTTTTTTATTTTATATATTTTTACATCATTTTTCACTTTTGCACAATGTACACATTTTCATCTTGGTTATATTCCCCATACAATTCCCACCCCCACTTATTTTGACCCTAATCCCTCCTCCCCAACCCGCCCCCAGTGTGTCTCTGTTTTATAGTTGCTTATTGATTTTGATTTTTACTTTATTATAATTAGTCTTTTTCCTGGTCCATTATTTAGGTTTTCTAAATTCCTGCTATGAGTGAGACCATCCAGTATTTTTCTTTTTCTTTCTGGCTTAATTTCACTGAGCATGATGCCTTCCAGCTCCATCCATGTTGCTGCAAATGGCATGAGTTTATCTTTTTTGATTTCTGAGTAATATTCCATTGTGTATTTGTACCATGTCTTTTTGATCCAGTCATCTATTTTTGGGCATTTGGGTTGTTTCCATAGCTTAGCTATTGTAAAGATATTTTTAAGGACTTAGCTCACTTGTCTGTGGAGACTGGCAAGGTCAAAATCTTTAGGGAAGGTCACGGACTGCAGATTTAGGGAAGTGTTACGGTTCATTTCCAAAGGTGATCTGCTGGCAGAATTCTCTCTTCTTTGGGACATCAGTCTTTTTGTATAAAGAACTTGAATACAATGCCCACCACACCCCTTATTTGTATGGGGAATATAACCAAAACGAAAATGCATACATTGTGCTAAAATGAAAAATGATATAAGAATTATGTAAAATAAAATAAAATATTAAAAAAAATTTAACAGTAAAAAAAAAAAAAAAAGAACTTCAATAAACTGGATAATGCCCTCCCAGGTTATCAAGAGTATTCTGCTTTACTTAAAGTCTACTGAATTAAATGTTAATCTCTAATAAAGAAAAATCCCTTGACAGAAACATGTAATGATTGGTCCACTAAGTGCTGTGGTCTTACCAAATTGACACATAAAATGAACCATCACACATGGCTTCTTCATCTCCTGTCAAAATACTACTTGGCCTTTCTTGTCTAAACATGTTCCATTTCCTAATCCTATAAAATCCTTCCTGATCTCTTATCTGAATTCTTATAGCCCTTTTGCAATATTTCATTAGGATGTTATGTTATGAAAGATGATAATGAAAGTCTTAGTGTATTCATTCCCACTGTTACTTACATTGTGTCTGTTTATATGGAATGTGAATCTCCTTGAAAGCAGTGACTATGACACATTTTGCAGCACCTGCCGCCATGTCTGGGAATCAATGTAAAATAGATACCAGTTCAATAACTACTATCTTTCCATCAAAAAATCCCTCTTGAGTGCCAGTGTGTATGAGAATATAAAGTGCACAAAATTGTATATTCACATCTCTTTTATTCATTGCTATAATCCCAGTACCTAGATTATAGGTGGTAAGAGCCATGAGTAAACCATTTTGGTTAAGAAGTTATAAATAGTAGTGAATAATGAGAGAATTAAATAGAATATAAACTCCATGAAAAAGTAGTGCTCATGCATCTTGTATATACTGCAAGTACCAGCCACAACGCTAGACATTTATTAACTGCTCATTAAGTAGGTTACATCGACCTTAGCAAAAATTCAGTAGATTCTCTGTGTGACCAATTACCAACTGGTGAATGAATACTTTTATTTACTAAAGAAGAAAATTCAAAGCATTGGAAAGGTATTACAGGATTGAACTAAGTAAAATTAAGGCTTGTTTCATTCCAATAGTTTATTACACTCCACTGGTATCTTTCCCTTGAAATCTCTTCTGAAACCACATGAGAACTGAAATATTCATATTTTATGTAAATCTGAATATATTGTATATACTTTAGCAAAAAATGGTAAAATATAAACACCTTTAATTTATCTTTGTAATCCTACAAAAAATAAATTCAGCATATATATTTTATTTTTTTAATGAATTATTTTATTTTATATAATTCTTACATCATTTTCATTTTGGCATAATGTATGCATTTTCATTTTGGTTATATTCCCCATACAATTCCCACCCCCTTTGTTTTCTGACCCTAATTCCTCTTCTTCTCCCCCCCACCCTCAGCATATATATTTTAAATAGCCACTCTACACTAAAAATTGAAAGTCAAAATTAAAATAGCCAATTGTGTATTTTTATACCTGTATTCCAAGAACACATCAGGGATGTTATTTTACTCTTTAATTACTTAACTTTCAGTATTTTTAAAAATGTGATAATGTTAATGTTAATTAAAAATTAATTTAAGGAAAGTTCAAAGATTACATAATTCATTTATGCCAAGTTTTTGGCATAATAAAACCAAGAACTCCCTGCTAAAAGAGAATGATAATAATAAAATGATAATAATAAAATCTAAAATGCACATATTCTTTGAGGACTAATTATTAATTACTTTTACACTTGAAAACTAAGAACTACCAATTAAAACAATTTTAGGCTTTAATTTCATTTTATTTTCACAATGAGATCAAAACCAGAACTGGAGTTGGCATTAGAGAAAGGATATTTTCCTGTGTTTACGTGACCAGAATGCAGGTATAGGTGACATCTCACAAAGAGATGTGATCTCATCAGTCCTTTTCAAGCACTCAACTCCATCATGTCACCGAATTCATGTATCTATGTGTGGATCAAAACCAAACTTGTTATCATGTGAAATGACATGAAAAAGGACCTTTTACAAGAAGACTTTATGCAATTATCCTATTTCTCTTGCAAATGTGACAACTGATATGAACATTTACTGTTCCCTTCTTAGGACCTGACTTGTGACCTGAAGGAGAAGCTTTCAGATCACTTCAAAGATGTTATGGTTGGCCTCATGTACCCACCCCCATTGTATGATGCTCACGAACTCTGGCATGCCATGAAGGTAGTGTTTTGGCACAAATGTGTGCCCGTAATAAGCACAGTCTCCTCTTTCAGTAGAGGGGGAACTGCCTTGTGATGTTGCTGTATGGGCTCAGGGGGAGAGAGGAGAGAGTGACTGCAAAGGTGGAAATGCTTGGTCAGGGTAAGTGGCCCTGTTAGGAAGAGGGGCACTCCAGAACGCAGGCGCTGGCATCGCTCTGTCCTTTCATTGCAGGAATTGAGAATCAATATGAAAAGGAAAGAGTAAATACGATTCTGGGGTTATTCAGGTTTGTGTGACCCCTGTATATATTCATGTATTAAGGAAAAATGTTACAAGTCATACAGTCCTCTTTCAGTTATTGTAAAAATTGTGCTCATTAAGTAAAGTCAGAAAGAAAATATAGACGGTGTCTTTGTGACCTTAAATTAGTCTTTTACAAAAACTACTGCAGAAATATATCAACATCTTATTTCTGGGGAAATAGAACAATCCTTTGTTGTAGGAAGGTCATTTTGATGAAATAAACTGACTACGTATTTGTTACAGATTTTGTTGGTTAGGGACAGGGAACAAAGCACCTTTTACTTCTTTCCAAATGCTGATATTAAACACCTGCAGAACTGTTGAAATTATTCCAAAGTGATGCCTGCCAGCGAGCAGATTACCGCAATCTGTAAACAGTGTGTGAAAGCAAAGAGGCAGGGTTGGGGAAATAAGGGGATATTTGGTCATGTTTGCTGATCTGAAGAGGCACTATATAAAATTCATGTGCATTTCCACTTAATAGCTTTATTAAAATATGCTATCGATGTCAAACTTATGTGACTAAAACTGTAAGAATTATGTCATATGCTGCTGTTTAGATGAAACTCATATTTTACCAATCTCTCAGAGAATGGTGAGGATCCTGAAACTTTCCTGATGTGTTATCTATTAAATCACTATTATATATGATCATAAGAAGTGCCTAATCTAAATGTTTAGGCAAATGATACAGAATTCCACATCTAGGAAAAGGCATAGAGAGATCTTTAAACATCCATGGGAAATTAGGAGACACATATTCTGATTTCAACTTGCCAAAGAACTGATATTCCTCCAGCAAAATGGAAATAATCCATGTCATGAGCATTATTTAAATATGTTTTTCCATATTATTGGAAATGCCCATACTGTTTAGTAAGGGAACAAAGTTTCATATCACATTATTTCATTAGGGTAAAACCGCCAGTAATGGCTCAACCAGAACTGGACCTATCATCCCAAATACACTTCTTTCTCCTCTGCCACCTCTTAGACACTGGAAATGTTGTCTCCCTTTATTGTACAGTAGGTGTGCTGTTATTCCCAGTACTAATATTTTGTATTAGTAAAATATTAGAAATACTTTGCATTTCTCTCATGTTTCTAGGGAGCAGGCACTGACGAGAACTGCCTCATTGATATATTAGCTTCAAGAACAAGTGGAGAAATTTTCCAAATGCAAGAAGCCTTCTGTTTGCGTAAGGAAATACACATGTGTACATGTATTTTATACCTATATAAGCTTCATATTTTCCAAATAATACAAAGAATTTTCTAAGATATTTCTGGTTGAAATATGACTCACTCAAGACTATCAAGTCATTAAGTAAAATTGATGACTAAGCTATTAAAAATGAAACAATTCCCGAGACAATCAAGTTAAACAAATTTTCCAGGATTATAATTACAAGTTTACTATGAGACGCTATAAGATCAGTGTTTTCATTAAAAATCAAATGCCCAGTACAGTGGCTCAGAGGACATTTTAAAGGTTACCTTGGAAAAATAAACACATAGACAAAATAAAGCTAAATGTACTGCTAGCTCAGCCAATTCTTCATATGGAGAACTCCTTCACTTTACATAATTTCATATCACTGTACTTTACCACAAAATCAGATTTTTATACATTTTAAAAGTAGGAAGGTTAACTTTTCATTTTCAAAAGTGTTTATTTTCTTAAGTTCCATTGTACCATGTATCATGTGACATATCATGTCAAAAAAAAAAGTTCCAGACAGTAAGCTCTATTGCATTTGAACAAAATCAAGATTTTCCCAGAGGAATGAAGAATCTTCACATAAATATTAAAATGAGGCAAAGCCTTTGGGAAAAGCACTGGGCTGGGCAGCAGTCTATGCAATTAGAGTGCATAATTCTGAATTTTGAGAATTAGAGAATGTGAAATGATCTCAATGTTGTTTTCCAATTTTGGAATAAAGATAATATATATATATTTTTAAGAAAACAGACCTGTGCCTATGTTACTGTTAGGTGTCATATTTCTCCGGTGGACTGTTTATTGGCTTACTCTGAGTAGAATATAGAAAAAAAAAAAAAGGCAAAGAAATATCAACAGATTGATTATATTTCTTGTGCTTTCACTGACAACTGGGGAAATAGCATTAATGTATTCCAAGCACATTGATATATGCTTCTGAAATAAATCATACATTTGACATGGATGTTTTCTTACCCAGAATACAACAGCAACATTCAAGAGGCTATTTACTCAGACACCTCAGGGCACTTCAGAGATACTCTCATGAACTTGGTCCAGGTATGAAATTCCAAAATTCATACACTTTTGCAACATTAAAATACATACATTTAATTCAAAAAATAGAAAACTATATTCTGTATGATGCTTTCTAGCAGTAAATCCTATGTAAGAATGTTTATTGAATACCAGATAAATTCATGGCACTATAATAGAAATTTGGATTGGGTTGAGACAAATATGATTCTCAAAAATATCTACCATATGAGAATTATTATAATTACATGTGTATAAATAATTATAAAGTCTCAGGGAGGTAAAAGATTAAAAATATTATAGTTACAATTTACTATTACAATTAGAAATTGCAATTCTAATTCCATTTTTAGAACTACTAAGCTGGCTGGGGCATATTAACTTCTCTGAGGTTCTACTGTGTTCTTAGCTTATTGTGTGATGAAGGAAGTCTATTTCTCATTTAATAAACATAAAATATTACATATAAACATTATTATAAACACTTTAGAAATGAAGAACAGAGAATCAAAAAGTGTTGGTTTCTAAGCTCTCTATTTGTCTAAAGAACTAATAAGTAGGGCCTCCCCGGTGGCGCAGCAGTTGAGTGCTGGGTTGCGAAGCTGCCCTCAGCCTCTGCAATGCCGGTTCGATCGCCAGCCGCTGGGTGAGGGTCCCACATGGTGCGACAGACCTCTCCTGCTGTGCCCGCTGCTCCCCTCAGCAGTGTACTTCATCAGTCTGCCTGTTCTGTTCCCTGCTTTGACTCTGCTGAATTTTCTCATGCTCCCGTGCTTCTGACTGTACCCGGTACTTGTATAAATAAATAAATAAATAAATAAAAATTTAAATAAATTTTTAAAATAAATTTTAAAATAAACTAATAAGTAGATATTCAAAATTTGAATTAAATCCTTTAGATACCCAAGTGCTTCAGATACCAGCACTTGCCTCAGTGCTGTCTGTAAAAATTCTGTGGTACTACACATTACAAAAAGGAACAATACTTCCAATTAAGAACTAAAAGATAATGGTTACCAGAGGGAATAGGGGAAAGGAGGGAAAAAGGAGAGAAAGGGGTAGGTGAGATGTGGCCACAGGTGGTTTATTGAAGAAAAATAAAATAATTATTAAACCACAAAACATTAGAATTATTAAGTGAAATTTGAACAGGTGCTGAGTGTCATGTCAGTACTATGAACTGTATTTGTATATATTAGCAATAAACAATTAGGAAAAAAAACCTAGAACTTCTCATTTTATTTTCCTGTCCTGACTAGACAGTGTGTAATTATTTCTATTCAATCAGTATTTCTTAAAAGCATATCACATGTTAGTATTATGATAATAGTGATATATTTTGATAAAATTACCTTTTGTCTTCTACATATTCTTGAATGTGCCTATCATCTAATCTGATTTAGCAAAGGCACTCAATAATGTAAAGAGCCTGTGGGTTGGCTCAAGGAACTCCTACTAATTAGGAAGATTTTTCCGATTAGAGACATGGCCAAGATGCTAGATTGAAGTGTTTCCTGCAAACAGTAGCAAGTCATAGGAAAATTTTTGAGCAGGATGTGAAAAGATCATGAAATTGGTCTCTTAATATCTCCCTGTAAGGAAGAAAAAAATAAAATTATCTATGTAATATATTTACCACAGCAAATAGAAACTAGTAATAAGAGTCACTTTTTGACTTAAATTAAAAGAATATGATTTATCAAATATAAAATTTGAAAGCAAGTTTCCCTATCTTATCATCTTGTTACTTTTGATAATTCTATTCTTCATTTTGAGTTGTATGGATCAAATCAATCAGATGTACCTTAAGTATATGCTGAGGTGATGTATTTCAAAGGAAATAAATAAACATAATGGTCTTTTTAAGATCAGAAGTCCCATAATAATCCTTACTGCTTAGTAAAATATAGAATTTCTTTTAGACTTTTAAGAACTTGAAGAATTCCCATTGACTCCTGATTTCTACATTAATGACTCTTCATTTAGAACTCCTGATTTATGGTTTAGATCAGTAAATTTAGTTGACTGGAAAAAGAAATAAAATGCAATAAGGAAGCAAAAAGTCTGTCACTTCTCCTAACCACTGTCCACTAAATAACTTACAAAGTGGAAATGGAATTCCTTCATAATAGTTTGTAAGGTTTAAAGTTAATGAGTTCAGATTAGTTAACTGCAGAGCATTGCAGTATAACCAAGTATCTCCCAACCTCTGGTGGAATTGTCTGTTTGTCCATTCACCCATTATTCCATCCAGCCATAGACAGATATTCTGTGTGAAATAGGAAGATACATAGCTTTATATCTTTTCCACTTGGTTCCATGATAATTTAGTTGTATGTCTCATTTATTAATAAATTAATGATTTCTCATTTATTCTTTTTGAGATTTATATTAGAAAGATTTACCTGCAATAAATGGATGTGAACTCATTCTTTTATCAAGTATTTCTCAGTACAAATATTCTCAATTTATTATATTGTTAAAATTATTTCTTTAGCTCCCTCTGTATCGTCAATGTCACAGTAAATACTGATCATGACTTTCATATTTTTAACATACGAAAATTCAGACACATTTCTTTATATGAATTAGTAAATATTGATGAAATTGGAGCATAGAAACCTCAAGGTATTCATGAAATGGAAAGTGTTGAAAATCATTGTCATATTTTCCAGAAGAGATGCTCTTTTACTTAATCTACAATGTATTTTTCAAAAGGTCTATCCAATAAGGAAACAACTCAGCCAGAACATGTTCTTCTTGAAAACTAATGCCAATCATTGAAATGGCTCACAACACTTCCTGAATGCTTTATTAAACTAGATTTATAGGAGCTCTAATTATCTGTCAACTAATGAAAAATTAGTCACTTAGAGATTAATTAATCAATATGTGCAAATCACACTGGAAATGATAAATGTTTTCACAAAGAGAAAGAATGAATCCTACTCAAAAGGATGCTCATTCATTATCTTCCTTTCAGGATTCTCCACATGACAGTTTCTCAACTTGTAAAGTCAGACTGCTGGGATGTAATTGCCATCAGTTTTCAGTAATCATCTATAGTCAACATATCTGCTCTAACTATTAACTAAAATTTAATTTCTTAATTTCTTCCTTTCACATCTTTATTTTGCCCAACCCACGCTCTTGTCCCAGCCCACACTCATCTATATCAATTACTCATACCATGCTGTGATTTTAGACTCTTTATATGACAAAGTTAGTTTGAGTCTGCATTGGTTGAAAAGCTAAATCACAAATTACTTACTTTTTTTTTTTAATTCACTAGACTGCATTAAGTACTTTGGGCAATTACTGTAAAGGAAAATAAACAGATTGGCACTATTTTAAGTTAAATGTCCCCAAACCTTAACTTAAAAAAAAAGATTTCAGATATGCAGAACTTCAGGAAATTTTTAAATATTTCTCACAAATCTTGAAAACATAGTTGTTTACTTACCTACATAATTTGATTGAGATCACTAAGTAAATTTCAATGATCAAAAAAAAATCTCATATTTATCAACTGATCTTTGAATTTTTGCTATCTTGAAGTTATTTCTTTAACTTTCCTGCATTCATTTATAGATTCAGTGAGTATATACTGGATGTCGACATTGTGTCACACATGATTCTAGACAAGAGGGAGCTGTGAATGAACAAAAGAACCAGTCTTTAAGAAGCTTACATTTGGTGGGGCCTCCCTGGTGGCGCAAGGGGTTAAGCACAGCACTGTGAAGCTATCCACAGCCTTTGCAGCACGAGTTCGATACCCGGCCTACCAGGGAGCTACCCACATGGCACAGCAGACCTCTCCAGCCTCTCCTGCTGCTCCCCTCAGCAGTGTATTTCAGTCTGCCTGTTCTGTGTCCCACTCTGTCTCTGATGAATCCTCTCACACCCCGCCCCCGCACCTCTGGCCTGTACCCCAGTTCTTGTATGCATAAATAAATAAATAAAGCAGCTTACATTTGGGGAAGGTAGAGAGTAATGGACAATTAAAGATAAATCTAATAAATAGGAAATTATTTAGAATGTTATACGGTAACAGATGATAAGTTATAGTAGGGTAAAAGGATGTGAGTGATTTGGAGATTTTTGACCCAATAATCCTAAACAGGTCATTAGTTGGAAACATTAAAAGGTGACCTGTGTCTGTTTTCCAGGGAACCCGAGAGGAAGGATACACAGATCCTGCTATGGCGGCTCAGGATGCAATGGTAACTAGAACCAGCTTTCTCATTAACTCTGAATTACCTTTGTGAAGCTTGTCTGGGGTGGTTTTGATGCAACTTCCTGCCTGTGTGATGTTTCAGGTCCTATGGGAAGCCTGTCAGCAAAAGACAGGGGAACACAAGACCATGCTGCAGATGATCCTATGTAACAAGAGCTACCAACAGCTGTGGCTGGGTAATTACTCATTGGGTCTTCTGAGATGATAACATAATAAAAAGCAAGAATTTACCTGGGAGGTGGGGTGGGAAGGGGAGAAATGTTGCCTAGAAATAGAAGAAAGTCAATTATCATAAAGGTACTTACTTTGAATTATATTTATACAGACATACCTCAACTAATGGCATTACTCAGAAACAAAGTTTCTTTACAGCTTTATTTTTTCAGTAACTGAATTATATAACCTTTAAATGGACCTTTTTAAAAAAGCTGTCCTTGTTATTGATGGAGAATTTAAGTATCTTAGCTATTGTCAATGAAGTCTATTACATGTTGTCGTGAAGGAATATAGTTTCACCCTACTGTTATAGCCAAGGTCACTATTATAGCCATCACAGTTTATGCCATGCTGCTCTTTGGTTTCATGTTAGTTTCCATTTTATCTGACTTTCCTAAACTGTTATACATTTATATTTAAAAAATGAAATTTTTTTTGTTTGATTCACATATATAAAATGCACAACAGTTTGTTAAAGTTTTAAGAGGATGGCCTGCCACAACCCAACCTCCACTCTTAAGCTTTACTTACCTTCACTATGTAATCTAAACAATACTTGTCTTTTCACTTTAAAATATTTACAAAATCTTCATTCACTTATGTCACTTTGCCAAAGTTTTCCAGGAATTTCAAAGTATTTCTGGTCAAGACATTGTAGATGCCATAAATGAATGTTATGATGGATACTTTCAAGAGCTTCTAGTTGCAATTGGTAAGTAATAATTTACTTGTTGTATAGCACACCTTTTATTCTGCAGTAAATGTTGACTGACTCTAATTGAATTAAAGATGAATAAGTTCTTGATCGAGTCACTTTACCCTGAATTTAATTATTTAGAAGCAATGCTAATTCTAGAGGAAAGTACATCAACTACAGAAACAATTCACCAAATTGGTAACTTGAAACTTTAATGAATTAATACGCTGTCCCCATGGTTGATTCAGCATTTATACTAGGATATATCGACTTCTCTGATATTTTTTCTCAGGTAATTGGGATCTCATCCTATTAAATTCATTTTATATCTATGGCTTCCATTCCCTTGTTCAAGAGCAATAAGTGCTATAATGTGGCTTCCTTTCCTCCAGGAGGAGAAGTACTTTTGTCATCACCACTAATAAATTTGTCTTCAAAGGTAAATGTTAACATAAAAGAGAATTACCAAACTGTGTTTAACAGTGTCTCTGCAGGCTATTGTGAGAGAAGCACATGTCCTGCTTCTTCCAAATTAGGGAAAGGTATCGTTAAACAAGTATTTCAGGGACTACAAATGAAGAGTCATTGTGGAATATTCCCCTAGTAGAAACATGTCAAGCAATCATTGAAAAACTTGTTGGACTGGGCCTCCCCTGGTGGCGCAGCGCTTGAGCGCCGCGCTGTGAAGCTGCCCACAGCCTCTGCAGCACTGGTTCGATTCCCGGCTGCCAGCAAAAGTCCCACATGGCAGGACAGACCTCTCCTGCTGCACCTGCTGCTCCCCTCAGCACTGTATTTCGTCAGTCTGCCTGTTCTGTTCCCCGCTCTGGCTTTGGTGAATTCTCTCACCCTCCTGCACTTCTGACTGTACCCAGCACTTGTATAAATAAATAAATAAATCTTTTTAAAAAAGAAAAATACTTGTTGGACAAAGGAATATTATGATTTTCCACTCCTCAAATGGTATAGACATATCTACCATTACAGTTTATCTCATAAAAGATTTTTGATATAGGGTTCCGTGAAATCCCTAAAATACTAATATAATTGAATATCTGTATATTTTTCTGAGAAAAAAGCTACCTGTATTTTGGCAAATTCTCAATATAGTTTAATAATCATGTTAATCAAAACCCTTTGTTTTACACACAAGATTCCAAAGTCTATCAGTTATTTAGTAACAAGTTTACACTAGGCTCCATATTATGTGAACCTCGAGATAGCTCTCTTTTCACTATACACTGCTCTTACAAACAAAGCAATGTACATGACAGAAGAAAATAATGGACGTCAGAAATACCAGGAGGAAAAAAGAATATAATCCTTTAAAAATAATGAAATAAAAATTACCAAAAAATATTATCAGGAAATATTTTTTCTGGTTCATTCACTCAATGAACAAACATGTATTGACATATCCTATTCTGGTCATTGATTTAGGTGCTACAGATGGAACAGTAAAACCAACAACAAAGCCCCTGTTTTTAAGGGACTTTCTACTGCTTCCTGGAGGAACTGATAAGTGCTTGTGAAGTTCAGAATATTATAATAAAGATTTAAAGTGAAGGCATAGTCTCACAATCTGAAATAATCATGTGAACTATAGAGAAAATGCTATTATGATGATTTTGTTTTGACTTGAAATTATAATTTTGCATTTATTATTCATTTGTTATTTACTTATTCATATAATCACGGTTGAATGTCTAGAATCATCAACTGACTTTCACCAAAGACAGTGGTTTACTAGACTCTAGGCTATTCTATGTCATAGTTTTAATTAGACTTCTAAGATGCTCCAAAACAGTTGTGGTCTACACAGTTTCTCCTTAAGAGACCTCAATTCTAGTCACAAGTCTACACGGGACTTAAAATAGCATTTGGAAAGATTAAAAAATTGTACAGGAATATGTTACATTGGATCCTGTATTAACAAAATCTTTACTGATGATCGTAAGCTGGATCTCTTTGAACCTCTATTTAATGTTCAGATAAAGAGGACACATTTTTCTTCAGTAGCTGCTAAGAGTATTCCAACTGGTAGCAATAGACTGAACGCATATATGAATGAATCATTATATTGTAGCTTTATGTTTTTCTATAGGCTATGGTTTTACCAATTATCCTAATTGTTGAGGTTTTAATGTAATCTACAATGAAGCACTCCATATAGAACTCACAAAGAATCACTCTTCCAGAATTGAAACCGAAAAAAAAAAAATTTCTCATTCTTCTCCAAATTCTGAATGATATATTGTTACTTTCAACTTTCTTTATTCTGATTTTTTTCCTAGTTCTCTGTGTTCGAGATAAACCAGGTTTCTTTGCTTATAGACTACATAGTGCAATACATGTAAGTATGACTCATATATTTGTTAAATGTCTCCAGAAATCAAATCTAATTTCTTAAAGGACTAATTTTGCTTCCATTATTTAAATATTGATTTCTATATTCGAACTTATATGCAAACATAGTCATTTCAAAGAAATATGAAGTTTTCAAAGAAAAATGTGTTATACACTAAAAATTAGAGCTATAAAATAAAGACAACACTGTTTTTTTTAATCAAATTGAAGTATGATTCCTTGGGACTTATATCTGCTTTAGAATCTGTTAACATCTGAAGAAACTTTGGTAAATCCAAATGTTTTTGTATATTGTCAGACTCCTGTCTATCTCACACTTATTAGGCAGATATATAACATATGGTGTCAAGCAAAGAATGTCAAAACAACAAGCTCTCAGCCTGAAATTGCTACATTCCTGAAGTTTAAAAACACAAAATAATAGCAATGGCTATTTTTAAACAAAAGTGTTATTTTAAAAAATACTTTAAAAGAGATAGCTAGAAAACAATAAACTCTAAAGTTATTTTTGTTATTAGATGAGAATATTTTTCATAGTTCAGTGGGATAGTCAATCACACATCCTTTGGTACATTTATTTTAAAGAAACAAATACTTAAATGCATGAACAATGTACACCTTATCTACAATGTGCATGAAATATAATTAAAAATGGAAAGATCTGATAATGATGATATATGTTATAACCTTTTACATGTGTCATAACCTTAAAAAACCAAAGAAAATATTATAGAAATTTCAATAGCTCACTAATTTTAATAATGTTTTATCCTTAAAGTAGTTTTTACAGACCAGCTTCTTCAGAGAAACCAGCATACTGAGATAACATGCTAGTTGTCTAAAATGTATTATGTATCTTTCATAAAGAGTATTTTTTTATTTATGTATAAGAACTTAAACATTGTCAGAACACAGACAAAATATCATGCTCACAGTCTTCTGTTAATCTTTATCCTATTTCCAAGTAGAAAAAGTCAATTTTGTTTAAAATATATATAATTATTCAAAGCTACACCTTGTTGACTATGCGTATATGGCAATGCAAAAAGGAAGATATATGAGACTCACAAATGGTTAGAAGGTAAAGGGGAGGATAATATAATCAGTCCAATTTTTTATATATGAGGACCTCAAATGGAAAGATTGGCCAAAAGCTGTTTTACCTCCCCAAATCATAGAAAATACCATTTTGATCTCCAATATAGTCCAGGAAAAGCATATATAACTTAAATATGGAAACTTAGACATTCATTTTAATCCCTTCAAATTATGAAAAGTTAATAAGTCTATATGTAAAACACTGATTAACAAAGATTAGGTTTATGCTTACTGGCCACCAGATGTCACCAATACCCCATGTGAAAAGATAATTTGAAATTGTAAAGCATATTCCTTCTGAAGCTTGTACACAGCAATTGATTTTTGTAAATTTCATATTTGAGCTTGAAATCCAAGAATATTTCATGTATGGGGAAGGCTTATTTTTACAGTTTTTGAAGAATAAAAATATAAAACAAAAATGCAATCACCGTTTTACTCAGTGATTTCAATGTTCATCTAACAAAGATTGGAATTACCACTCCCCACCCTCCGAGGAAGACTCCACCTGGCAAGAGGGTATGATCAGATTTCCACTTTATAACACAGTGCAAAGGAGATGGTGTGAAAGTTGACAAGGCTAGAAAAGGTGGCAGAATTGCTGCAAGTTTAAGGTCAACATCAAGTCTATGAGACTGAATATAGGCATTTAAGTGATACAGTAAAGAGAATGCTTCGTTGTGTACCTAGTAAAGAAAGTAGGTACAGAAGTGACTCTCAGAATCCAATTTGGGCATTCTGGGATGCTGGTGTTTGAGGGATACAGGAGCAAATTGTTACAGAATACGTCTATTTTAGGCAGACTCACTTTAAAGTATATGTGGTTTTCTCATTTTTCCTGTATTTTGTAATTTTCAGGACTTTGGTTTTCATAATAAAACAGTAATCAGGATACTGATTGCCAGAAGTGAAATAGATCTGATGAATATAAGAAAGCGATACAAGAGAGATATGGAAAATCCCTATTTCATGATATCAAGGTAAGTCTCCTATAAGTGATTTATTTTGACCCACATTTTATCCTTTTTGATTCTGAAACAAAAACTTTAAATAATTTCATATCAGACTCTTAAAATTTTTATTATCTAACATATATCTTTTTAAATTAATAATTCAATTTATAATAGCATCAGAATAAATAAAAGACATAGGAATAAATTTAACAAAAGAAGTATAAACCTTAAAATAGAATTTAAATTTGTCAAAAGACTCCCTCGATTTAACTCAGTTTCTGAAAACATTTACATTGAGTTGCCTAGCTTGAGGTTTAGTTATAAAATACATAAAATTCCATTAGTTTATGTACTCTGAATTTCTGAAGACACAAAATCCTAACAGATATCTTTTAAGTTAGTACAACAGTCAGCCTTTAGTGCATCAGCAAGTTCCAATGGAGGAAATCCCTTCATCAATGATAGAACTCATTCTTCTTTGACACGCTTTAAGTAAAAATTTTTGAGGTAATTATAGAAAATATTCATCCCCTGGCTGTAGAATTGTGCCTCATGAGTTAAATTCTGAATTATCATCAGAGTAAGGAGAGATGCATTTTATGGGTACTATTGGGAAGAGATTTCTCAAATCAGTTCAGCAGCCCTTTCTTAGCATCAGACAAGGTGGGCCAGCTAGTCAAATCACAAAAGAGATAAATTGGAGAGTTTAATACGGAGAATGATATAAAATTCTACCTATTCCTCTCCCTTTAGCACTTGAAAGGCAAAGACGCAATTATTCAGAAGTAAAAAAAAAAACAATTTTTTTCATTCTAATACTTTTAAACTTTACTCTGGATTTTTGATAAAACCGAGTAAAGAAATATCAGACTATAAAAGTTCATTGATATAATTTTAAAGACCCAGAGGAAAATTAAAATACTGAACCCTTTTTCAAAAAATTGTAAAGAATTTCATGATGGCAACAGCAGAGCATGAAATCAAACACAAAGACCTGAGAGTACATCTTACTTTGTATTTTGCATACAGCTAAGTGCTATTACTTGTTCACATTGTTTTCCATTGAAATTTTCAATTTTATAAAAGTGTGGTAAACTTAATATATTATATACACATGTTGACACACCTCAAATTTATATAGTGTTATGATGTGATGTTACTACTGAAAGAATGCTTTCTAGTTTATTGAAAGAGGGATCCAGAAGCAATTCAACAACCCAAGGATCAAGAGGACACAAAGACCAGAAGATCTGACAGACTCCTGCATACTCAAAGTAGCTTCACATGAAAGAATTGAAAGAATATTACCCATTCAGATTTGATAAATCTCTCCTTATATCTGTCTTCAAAGCTGTAAATTTTTAGTGATGATAAACACCGCTCATTGGAAAATGCGTATCATAACTTGTTTTCTAAATGAGTAGTCTAATAGATATACTGCCCTCAATCACAGCCACTAGTATTTACATATAATTAATGAACACTACTATGTGAATTAAAGCAGTGAATTATAATTATATAACTTTGTGTAACAGAACATTAATATGATAGTTCATTGTTAACAAATACATTTTATAATTCCATTTATTACTATATTTATTTTGAAAAACTTTTTAACCATGGAAGACCATGAAAATTAAAGAAAATTGCTCTAATTCTCTAGCACAGATAACCAGTAATAAAATTTGTTATAGTTGCTTTCTGTCCATTAAAATATATCTAAAAATTAATATGTTTACTACTTAAAGGAATATTTTTATTAAATCATGGTTGTATAAATTATAAAAAGTGCATAAACTGCCCCACCTATTTAGATATTATACTTTACCTTTTCACTATTACATATATTATGATATACATTTTTTAGCATAAATCTGTGTGCTTATCAATAATTGATCATTATTAGAATATATTTCTTGAAGTAGAATTGCTACATTGACTATAAAAACAAATCTTTTGAGGCAAATGTCAACTTGCATCTAGGTAATATGCTGATTTACAGCAATGTTATAAGGACACCTCTTTCTAAAGTTGAGGAGAAAATTTAATTCTACTGCAGATTATTCTTATAAATATACAGTAGGATCCAATCAGCTTTATATAAAACCCATTCTATTGACTATAACCATAGTATTATTTTTCAATAAATACCAGTGGGAACAGTTCTCAGGACATATTAAATCTTTAGATGAAAAAAGTAAATAATTTTGGAAAAGCTAATGACACATAGGTCTTTCAAACTGTAGTTCAGATGAAATTGTTTCTTTTTTTAGAAACACTATGACATTTTATTTCAAATACATTGTATTTTTTCTTTTCAGAATTTTGCTTCAGGACATTATGAGAAAGCTCTGCTTGCCATCTGTGCTGGGGATGCTGATGACTACTAAACTAAAACAAAGAGTTAGGGGACTGTGCTTTATAGACATGTCAAAATATAGATTTTGTGATAAATTTGCATTCTTAGTTGCATTGGAGCAAAACTATAGAATCATGATTTTTCTCTTATCTTTAAAATTGTTCTAAGCCAAAGAAAAAAATCTATAAATAAATGTATAACTGGATTTTCATTTATTATTTAATCAGAAATTCATTAAATTGTATATAAGAGAATAACAAAAAATGTTTTTGGAATGTATTTTATTTAAATGTGAACCACTGATTTCCTCTAAAAGAGTCTGCTTACAGCTACAGGTATTCTTAGCATGCTTTGAAAGACCAAGGAAAGCACACCTTGAGTCCATCCCTCCTAGAGGTATTTTAAATTGTACAAATGCAATAAAACTAAAGTGGATATCTAAAGCTGTCTCTGAAATAAAGATGCAAAACAGCAAAATCCAGTCAGATATATGCCTGTCAGACTTTGATATATAGGTGACTTGTATAGAAAAATAGGGTGGGTGTGTGTGTATGTGTGTGTGTGTGTCCATACACACATTCAACAACTGCACTATTAAAGGCAATTTATCTCTAGCTAGTTTGTGTGTGCGTGTCAGTGCCTAACTAACCACCTGCCCATGCAATGAGAGAAAAGTAATTTCTCATTGTTAATATCTTCACTCCTTATCATCAACATCAAGTCTTTTGGAAGTTATTACATGCTTTGTGTCATCAGTAAAGCTTGGTCCTATATGTGTCTCAAGATTCAATTAATTAAGTACTGCAAAGGAAAATTACTCACTGAGGTCTGATTTGGGAGCAAATCCACATTGATGCCCAAATTTAACCAAGAATTAAAGCAGAGAAAGTGTCCATTGAGTTCACAACAGAAGGCTCCCAATACAAACAAGTGGAAACACAAAAACTGAGATCATAGGAAGGCAGTGGTTAGTAAAGGCAGGCAAGGAAAATGAAAACACATATGCAAAAAATCTAGAAGAACTAGTGAAGTTGATAGAAGTTCTTTATACCACAGGAAATAATTTTCAATAATCTGCAATTCAGAACTTTTATCTGCTTCTAACGGTCTCAGGAGAAATGAAAAGGTAATCAGAACTGAATGAATGATACAAGATTTTTATTGCTTTTATTGTGATTAACCCCAACATGAAATATTCAAGAATAATTAAATTTTTCAAATTACTTTCAAGAATCCAACCAACTGCTATGATCCTTATCAATGTGCAATGGAATATTATATTAAATTAGGTTTAATTTCTATCTTTTAAAAATTCACCAAATCAAAACTTGCAATTGAGACATTTACAAAAGTTATTATACCAGCTAAAATTCTTACAATTAAAATGTTACTATTCTTGTTGAGAATTTAGATATTTAAATAAAACTTTCCACACGAGGACATACATCTACAAGTTGTTCAATAAATAGTGAAATATATGCTTCAGCTAATTAATACATTTTATTTCTTTGGCACAGCATGAAAATCAATTCAAAAATAAATCTTAACTTAGATCAGGAGAGGCTACTGCAATAAGTGGAGAGGTCTGTTGCTATAGGAAAAAGAGGGCCTAATAATAGAACTAATACAATAGAAAGAACAATATAACTATGTCCTTAGAAGTTCCTTATCAACTTTTCCCTTTTTCTACACACTGAAAGGCACAAAATAGTCAAAACAAAAAATAGGCAAGGCAAAAACACATAATAGTTGAGGCCCACAAAAAGGGAGGTGCATTTCTTGACCAGCTCAGTTTTTGAGGAGCACAATACCACGGGACTGTTTAACTTTGTCAATATTTTTTTTTTTTCACCAAGGTTGTTTCCTGAATTTTTCAATTAGTTGTTGAAATGCCAGCACAACATTGTTGTCTTCTTTTGTACCTAATTTTTCTAGGGAAACCCTGTAAAAGAATAAATGCCTAAATTAACGTTGCTATTTATGCATGAGGTGCTGTTGCTTCAAATACAAGAAATAATTACTACACCTGATGGACTGAAGAACAATTGTAAAGTCTTTGACCGAGTTGAAGGCCTCTCCCATATGTAAACTGCGTGGGGTGGGGGAGGGAAACAAAATAACATTTAAGAAAATAATTAATTACCACTGTATTTCTGACCTTACCAGAGACAAAATAAACAAGATATGAAGATTACAAAGGAGTGTTCACGCCACTATTTTACAATTGTCAATTTAGTCCTAAACTAGTAAGAAGGCTAATCATTTGACAAAAAATTTGACTTTAATGTTCTTTTATAGCAGCACATTATTGCACGTTATTATTACCCCAGTTATTCAATGCAAAAATAAAGAAAAAAAAAAAGAAACAGAGAACAGATTGGCACTGCTAGAGAATGGGAGAAGAAAGGAATAGGAGTTACTGTTTAATGGGTATAGACTTTCCCTTTAGGTTAATGAAAATATTTAGTAGCTAGAGGTGATGGCTGCACACTATGAGTACAGCAAATGTCACTGAATTGTTTACATTAAAATGGTTAATTTCATGTTATGTGAACATCTCAGTAATAATTAAAAAGCATATAAAATAGTTCCAAATAAATTATATCCTAGTAACTCATCTTAAACTATTGCTTCTTAATATTACTCTCACAAATCATAATGCCACATCATAACAAACATTCATTGTACAAACACACATATATTAAAATATATATCAAAACAGAAAAATCCATACCAATTACCCTCAGTCAGTTCAAAGAGGGAACCACATCTGTAGAAGTTCAATAAGTATGCGTTCAATGGATATTTTCTTCCAGTACTATCATATTTATTCAAGGGAAACAAAGGAATGTTTCTTACATTCACATTAATTGTTCGTAACATAACCTGAGGATACGCAGAGATTTTAGATCGTTAACATTTTTCTATTGATATACACCCTAATCTATTGTAAAATTTGATTATAATGCCGTATTACATCTACATCTAGCTACTCAAAAAAAATAACCCAGTATGTTAGGGAAGTATAGTCAAATATTCAAAAAATACATTTAAGTTCGTCTGTCTTTGGGCCTCGCTGGTGGTGCAAAGGGTTAAGTCTCAGCACTGTGAAGCTATCCACAGGCACTGCAGCACCAGTAGATTCCCGGCCAGGAAGCTGACCCACATGACGCAGCTGACCTCTCCTCTCTCACCCACTGCTCCCCTCAGCAGTGGATTTCAGTCAATCTGCCTGTTCTGTTGCCACTCTGTCTCTGGCGAACCCTTTCACCCCCTGGACCTCTGGCCTATACCCCAGTTCTTATATGCATAAATAAATCTAAAAAAAGTTCTGTCTTTAATATAAATCACCAAAAAAAATCAGTTAAAAAAATCAAACCAAACACATTTAAACTATTTTTGAAATCACAGAAATATTTCTAATTAACTCAACTGTCTGAATTGTCACTTTTATAACCCTCAAACTATAATTTTGTAAAAGCATTTTTTTCTGAAAAACTATTTTTGAGTTTACAGACATATGTCAACAGCTATACATAATGTAATAGTGCTTGCTCTTTCCATTTCCATAAACATCTTTTTTTCTATTAAACTGCCTTTAGGAATACAATGATCTGATTTTGGCAATAACATAATCACAATCATTAGAATTTATTTCCCATCAACATATCATAGATAAACTGTGAGGGGTTAGTCTCACTTACTGCCAAGCATGAGGCAGTAAATGAAGTGATTCATATACTAGTTTAGAAATTAAAGTGTTCAATATATATTTATTGAGCATCTTTGTTTTATTTTTCTCTAAGTATATTGTATTATGACATTAAATGAGCTACACATATGCATCACTATAAATCAACATCTGTATATACTACATTAACCTCACCACTAAAAGTCTAATTCTATCCTTAATCATGTGATTGTCTCCTTTCACTCTACCATACACCACCATTAGATGGGCAGAAAGGGGGAAAAATACAAACTGTCCTCAAATGGTTTATAGCACAGCTTATGATACATTACTGTGCACTCTAAACTAAATTATTTTGAGATGACTCCCAAGATGAAGCATATCCAGCAGATGATATTGAGTTGCTGATATATGGTTCACATTTTGAGTTGCAAAGGCTTACAATACAATGATTCATAGAGAAAGACATGATTCATTCACGAAGGCTAATTGAGAAACTAGCATTATTTTCTTTATCTAATTCAATTTGTCTATTATAAACTATTCACATATTTTTAAAGATTTGTTTTCCTACTTCAGTGGAAATTAATACTATTATGGATTAAGAGTAACATGGTTTTGTTTCACTGAGACAAATATAATCATGTGAAAATGATTTCTCTTAAGTGAATAAACAGGACAAAAGAAAAGGTTCATATCAAAATTCACTTACATCACTTATTATATTAATATCAAATAAATCTTGGTCAGTTATGTTGGACAAACATGCAAAAGGGGAAACAGCAGTTCTGCTTTCAGTCCCAGGCATTAAATGAGAGACCAGTTCAGACTCTTCACATCCTTCACCTGAAAATTCTAATAAAAATACATTGGAAAATCAAATTAGAAATTATTTGAGGGGCCTCCCCTGGTGGTGCAGCGGTTGAGCGCTGGGCTGCGAAGCTGCCTACAGCCTTTGCAGCGCTGGTTTGTTCCCCAGCCACTGGCGAGGGTCCCACATGGCACGCAGACCTCTCCTGCCACGCTTGCTGCTCCCCTCAGCAGTGTACTTTGTCAGTCTGCCTGTTCTGTTCCCTGCTCTGGCTCTGGTGAATTCTCTCACCCTCCCATGCTTCTGACTATACCCAGTGCTTATATAAATAAATACTAATAAAAAATAAATAAATAGAAATTATTTGAAAACTGCATCCCCATAAATATAAAATATTTAAAACAAATATATTTGCTTATACCTTTATTCCATCTTTGGGTGAACCATTATCCTCCCTATCATAGAAATCATACAAAGAAAGATAGAGATGAATGATAATTATACTCATTCTTTCAAGTTACAAATGCAGGCAATTGCTTGGGAACTTTTTCTTTTCCATGAAGTTGAACCATTGCTAAATAATTTCTAATTCCATGATTGAATAAATTGAGCATTTACTCCTTATCCTTCATAAGCCTTCTATATTAGCATACAATAATCCCCCCCAGGAAATATGCATAAACCACTATTACTGCTCCACATTTTCTTCTTGCTTCTTATGGAAGTAAGGGAAAACAGAATTCTGTCACCTTCCCATGAACCTCAGTTCTTCTTCCTCTCTTTCCATCTTGGGGCATTTTGTATTGAGTGTATTTTCAGCTTCCAATGTTTTTACTTTATCTGGCATAGATTACTGAATATTCCCTTACTTTTGTTACTTTCTTTTTCATTTTGTCCTTTCTTCAAAGACATGGAGCATGCCTTAACTTCTTTGTTGTCAGTAACTTCTTTGTTGTCATAGATTATATTCAAGAAAGTAAAACATACTGATCACCCTTAATAAATATGCTAATGTTCCATTTCTTGTATTTCCTAATTTATTCATATTTGAAAATTTAACTAGAGTGCCATATCTACTAAATGACAAAAGGAATCAAAAGGAGAAGAAAAATTCTAAAATAAATGTTCTGATAGTTCATAACACTAGAAAATATGGAAATATTTTGAGCATTTCATACCAAATCAAATCAATGGTGACATCTAATTCCAAATAACATAGGATGCTTCCAGTATAAAATTTCTATACCAGATTTCTGATGGATTAAGTGAGTTTCCTATATATTCTTTTATAATAGTTTTGTAATTATTTCCTAAAGTTTAGGTTTATCTCAAAACATTTATATTTGTTTTCCTTAATAGACTTCACATTCTATTTATGTACATTCACAATCTTACCAATTTCTGAGAGAGGTAGTTGGCATTCTTTTCTCAAGTCGGCCAACTTAGAAATCATTAGGAGATAGGAAACAAAATTATTTTGAATTCTTTTGTTGTATGTTTCTATCATCCTAGTATATTTCCTGGGAAGATTCTCTAGAATCACCTAGGAATGAAACAGATGAATGTAACAATTCAAAACAGAAGCAGGAATCCCCAAAGTCTGAGAGACACAAAACAAAACATTTTTAAAAGTCTGAATGGAAATACATTTCTAAGTATAAATTCTCTTATTATAGCAAAGTGTAAATATAAAACCTAAAGTCTCTGATCTTCTCATCCAGGCATAGAGGTTGTGAAGATTTTGGTACATAGGTTTCCCTTCCAGAATTTTATGTACAGTTTATGTGGTAGTATTCAGACAGATGGTCTAATTTTATAATCAACATTATATCTGGACCATGTCATAGACTAATATTTTTACAAATGAATTTTAGTGGCTGCATAATATTACCAGATAAATAAGCTAACATTCATCTAACTATTCCGTTACTGCTGGACATATAGGTGGCATCCAATCTTCAATTATGGACAATTAATGTTATAAGTTGAATTGCATCCCTCAAAAAAACATGTGCTAAAAGCCTAAGCTCCAGTACATCAGAATGCAACCTGACATAATTGGTTAAGAGAAGTTCATACCATGACTGGTAATCTTAAGAATGGGGACATTTGGACCCAGGCAAAAAACACCATTTGAAAATTGAGGCAAAGATCAGGTCCTGTATCTGCAAGCCAAGAACACCAAAGGTGGCCCACAAGCCCCCAGAAGTTTGGAGTTTTGAACAGATTTTCCCCTCAGTATTCAAAGGCAAATTTTCGTTGCCTACCAGGACTTTTGGCCTCCTGATCTGTGTGACAGCAATTTTTTGTTGTCTAAATCTCCCATTTTGTGGTAATTTGCTATAGCAATCTGAGGAAACTAATTAATATATGTTTATCACTTTTATTTGTATATTTGATTATATAATTAGTTTAAATATAAGGGTAGAAACACTAAAATTAAAGAATATTTTAAAGTTTGTAGCTATTTAGTGTCCTAGCAACAAAACTGCTAATTCCAATCTTTGCCAGATTAACAGGTGAATTACAGTATCTTTTTCATTTCCATTTTCTACTGTTGATGAGATTATTTTACATTTTTTGTAATTTTAATAACTATTACAGTGGTTTTACATTTGAACATTTATTAAATTGTCATTAGTTGTAATCGTATTCCAGTTGATTATTTTTATTTTTTCAGTAGCCAGTGGTTTCATCCAGAAATAACAATTATGAAAATAAGAGTTAACATTTATTGAGTATATCCCACATGCCAACCACTATTATTTTTCATGTGGAGCAATATAGCAAACATTTGAATTAGATGTTTTGATTTCCAATATACAGATAGTAAATGGGATAAAGAATAAATGAATTTTATGGAAGAAAATAAAAAAGTTTAATTAAAAAAGAATAAATGAATTTTCTTAAGAACATCTATGTGCTAAGTAGCCACGCAGGGAGGGAGTCTAGGAATGTGCCTTTAACATACTCTATTACATGCCATTCCCACTCTGTTTACCTTTCCAATAGATATTTATTCCTTGTCACTTGGGAATGAGTGGAATTCCCAGAATAATATTTTCAAAGGGTTATTAAACTGAACATTCATGTCTTTTTGTTTCAAATTAATTGTTAGAGTGGCCATAATTTCACTCTTCAATGTAATTTTGTTTGAAATCCTCTTCAAGGTAATAATAAATTGTTAGTAGCATGCAAAAAAAAATTCTGTATCAGAAATAAGGCTTTCCAATTTTAAATAAGACCTCAATACTTCCCTCATCCGAGATGTCATTATATGTAAGAGTTGACAAAGCAATGACAAAGAAGTAATTACAGTGAGTGATAATAAAAAAATTGATATTAGAAAAATACAACTATAATTTTTTTGTTCCTTACCACTGAATCAGAATGCTGCTTTTTATAGTCTTCTACACAGGGAGGAAGATATTTTCTTCCAAAAAGATGTGCCAACACTATCACTAACTTTTCCATCACAGTTTCAGAAAATTTCTTTGGGCCTGTTTAAAATAAAGAGTTTATTTTTCCAAAACTTCACAGAAAGAAAAATCATCATTTTATTAGGAAAATACTGAGTCAATTTTTAATATCCACTCTAAAAATTTTAAGGTAAGACACATTTGAAAAATTTATTTTGCAGATGTTTAGTGAATTTTTAATAAATTATAATAATATGTATCATAATACAAGCAAATTCACTCCCCATTGTTATAAATGGTTGGTCTCCTTCTACCTGCTCTGAGCTTTAAGAATCTAATAAAAAAAATACTCTAAAAGAAAACAAAACAAACATTTGCCTTGAAGTTATAGAATTATCTTGGATTCCATCATTGGCTTCAAACCTTCCTTTGCTTCTTTGTTCCATTGTTTTTCCATCTCTGTTCAGAAACTGTTAAGTAAGAAAGGGTTTACACTGCTTTCCAAATTCCTTATCTGCCACTCAAGGCCATAGGCTAACCTACATTTTTTTTTCTCTTTGGCACATACTACAATCCAAAAAGAGCTGACTTCTGCTCCAGCTGACAAGCCTTTGCTTCTGGTATTTTCACTCCCTGGGATATTTAACTCCCACATTTGTATGTGTCCAAATCCTGTAGCATTTTAGAAACAAGTGTCCTTGAGGAAAAACTCACATTTGATTGCTAGATTTTTATCTGCCCCAGTATTTGACAGAGTTGTGCCCACCCTGATAACCACTTCATCACAGTTATCATAGTCAAGAAACAAGTGAGAAAGTGACACATTACCCATGAGAACTTGAAACAGGACACACCTGCCTCACACTATGGGAGAAATGCAGAGCATTAAGAGTAAAACTTCCAATTTCTTTTTTTTTTTAAAGATTTATTTATTTTTATAGAAGAACCAGGGTACAGGCCAGATGTGCGGGAGAGTGAGAGGATTCACCTGAGACAGAGCGGCGAACAGAAAAGGCAGACTGACTGAAATACGTGGCTGAAGGGAGCAGCAGGCTAGACAGGAAAGGTCTGCCATGCCATGTGGGTATCTCCATGGCCAGCTGGGATTGAACCTGCGCTGCAGAGGCTGCGGACAGCTTCACAGCACTGCGCTCAACTGCCTGCGCCACCAGGGAGGCCCCAAAACGTCCAATTTCAAGTTAAAAAACAGTCATTTTGGTGTGTTTACACTAATAGCTTTACAGAAAATTTTTTTCAGTTTATTCTTTAATATTGTTAAATATCACACACAATAATTGTGGAATTAGTAAATTTCAATAATGACTACTTTCTGTGATCCTTCCATGGAAATATAAAAATTCCAATGGGTTAGACTTTATCATTTGATCTCTTAGAAGTTCTAAGGCATATCAGATGTTATTTTAATTATTTTTATATTACTTTATTCTTGCATTATTATACTAAAGTGGGTAATTTACCAAAAGTATAAAATACAGTGGACTATTACCTATATATGCTATTCCCAGCTATTTGCATTGAGTTTGGATAATATCATTTCATTTCTCTCTATAGTTCATGTCATCATGTCATAATTATAGTAAAGGGAAAATAGTTTATAATTTAAGAAAAGGAAAATGTTATAGATGGCAAAATCTTTATGTCAATATAACCCTACAGCTTATATTTGACTTTGAAGTGTCACTTCCATATGTTATGATGCAGCTAATAATCAGAACCTAAATATCAGGATATCATAAGAAACCTAATTTTCATGTTAATGACCATATATAAAAGGACAAAATTAGTGATTTTACATATATTACTGTAATTTATTTCAATAGCTATATATACTAAAAATGTCTCATGTGTTCAGAAGAATAGCCTTTATTATCCTAAGAATTTATTTTGAAATATTTAAAGTCTATTAAATATTAAATGATCATTAAATATATTTGCATTATTCTCCACAAAAAATTATACATTACAATTTTAGTAAGCATATTTAATGATATAAAAAATAAGAAAAAAGTCAAAATACATTAATAGAAAAAGCAGTTAGAAAATGGGACACCATCCAAAGTGAATGTAGTCTTAGGGAATGAGTGGGATTATGTTAATACACATATTAGGTCTGTGTGTGTACAGACATGTGTGTACATGTGCATATGTGTATGTGTACACAATTTAATGAGTAGAAGTTTGGAAAATTAATATTTACTTACCTTGTTTCTTTTCTGGAACACACAAATTGTGAAATAAACCTTTTTTCAGTAAGCTTACAAAAACAAAACTTGAAGGTTCATGGTAGTGCAAATGAGACACAAATCCAGAAAATCCAATGGGAATACATTGCTGATTCAGGTAACCCTATAAATCAGTTTTAAAGTGTTAACCTCAGTTTTTAGTTCTCAGAAATATCAAACAAATAAGTTATTAATAAATCTGAGTTCAGTACAGTACAATTAAATATGAGTGCTAACAGTTTAATGAAAATAGGTATAAATCTTACCTCTGTGACCAAAAATTGCAAAGCATATATAAAATATAATTTTATAATGGTTTTAATCTTTGGTTTCTTGAAGGATATCAATGAATGTTCGAGAGCTGATATTGCCTATATATGCAGATATCAAAATACCAAGTTAGATGTTAATTTATACCATGTCTTCCAAATGTAATATACAAAAGGGCAATGAAATATTTCTATTATAGATCATGGGGCTATATATATATATATATATATACACATATATATAGGTTTATATATAAAATGTATGATATATTTTTTGCATTTTAAATTAGATATTGCAGATTTCTTTATTATATTACTTATTAAGATTATAATATTTACTTGAGATATTTCATAGTATTTTCATTATATGTGTATGTAATAAAAAATGTTAACAAAAATGATGGATAAATGAATAATTACAACTTAATGTATGAAGGTAAAAGGTAAACATAAGGTAGAACACAAGAATTATTAGCATTTTCATCTTAAACATTCTTCAACCCTTAATTATTTCTTTAAAATTCAATTTTTTAATGTTTATAGATCATGGATATTTACAGAAAAAAAATTTCTAATGTACACAGACTCCAGGAATAATTATAAAAAGGAGATCATAGGCTAATTTCCCATATATTTGAAAACATAAAAGTAACTTTCTGTTGAGTAGGAGTATTGCAAAATAAAATGAAATATTACAGTTTATTTATAGCACACTATTTAGTCCCTTCAGTTTATGCAATTTATTTTAGAATAAAGATGATGTGATCATTATATTTATAAAAGTACTTTAAATAACATGAAACAAAGTACCTTTGCTTTGGCATCCTTTTTGTCATCTGCTTTGGCAACTAGCATCATAAGTCTGAGAACGAATGATATGCTTAAAGGAAATTGACCCTTCAATTTGGGCACATCTGATCTTAAGAGTCTTTCTACCTTGGGTAAAGGTATACCATAAAAGAAGACATTGCCCACAAGATCTTCTCCACGTCTTCCTGCCCGACCAGACATCTAAAGAGAAGATGACATAATTTTTAAGTAATTTCAGACTTTGTCTCTGTAAATGGTTAGTGTTTAATTTGCATAAATCATATAAAATATTGAACTTCCAAAATCCTGAAAGAATTCTTTGTAGTTTGATAATTTTAGAAAAGTTTAAAATATTATTTTATCTTGTGAACACATTATTAAATTGTATATATCTTTGTTTATTAATACCTATGTTTAAAGATGATGAATTTTTGGGAGGGTCAAATTTTAGTCTCATTTATAAATATATTTCTAGAAACCAGCCTAAACTAAGAACAGTGTAAACACCATCTGGCACAAATTGGATCCTCAAAAGATGTGGTTATCTCTTCAGAGTATTTTTGTTTAAGTTGAATAATATTTATCAAACAGGATTATTCTCAAGTAAATTAATCTGCTTTGTAAATGATGGCTTAAGACATCTTTAAATACAATAGTATTCATAAGAGGTTATATACCTCTTATATAACCTAGAGCTCATTTTCAAATATTTTTACAGTCACTGTTTCAGAGTATATAAAAATAAATATCCTGGCTTAATGAGTGGATGTTCCAGATTCCTATGTATACAAGAAGAAAAGACATGTAGTATAAATACCTGACGAAAGTTCAAGGCATCCAAAAAACAAGAGTCTTCAGTAAAAACAACAGATTTACATGGCATATTAATTCCCAATGCAAGGGATGAGGTAGCTATTACCACCTGTGGGTGTATATTAAAAAAATTAGAAAACAATCACATCATAGATGTACACATAGGCATTACATATTTACTAGCTTAGAAAGACCACTGGAATCTAATGTGACAGAAAAATTCAAACTCCATATTTTCTTTTGTAAGAAAAAAATAGATGTCTCATAGAGATATGCATTCATTTAAATGTATGTCCTTACTCTTACAATTATCTAACATTATCAGGTTATAAAATGATGTGAAATCAAAGCTATTCGGTAAGGATTCATTTTTTGGATTTTTTTTTCCATTAGTAAAGGCAATCAGTTTTAAATAAAAGGAAGTTTACTTTTACATTAAAAAATTCTTAAGGGCCTCCCTGGTGGCACCAGGAGTTAAGATGCAACCTATGAAGCTATCCACAGTCACTGCAGCACATGTTCTATCCTCAGCCAGGGAAATACCCCCATGGCACAGCAGACCTCTCCTGACTCACCCGCAGCTCCCCTCAACAGTATTTTGATCAATCCGCCTGTTCTGTTCCCCACTCTGTCTCTGGTGAATCCTCTCACATACCTCCCCACACCTTTGACCTGTACCCCAGTTCTTGTATGCATAAATAAGTATTTTTTTTTAATTCTTAAGAAGAAAAAATGGTAGGGAAACCAGGTCATATTAAGCATTAAATCTAAGTGTTCATCAATAGATGACTGGATAAAGAAGATGTGATATACTTATACACAAAACACAGGGCAATATTATTCAGCCGTGAAAAAAAAGGAAATCCTGTCATTTGTGGCAATATGAATGGAACGTGAAGAAAGTATGTTGCAATGAGTCAGAGAAAGACAAGTACATATGGTATCACTTACATGTGGAATCTAAAAAAGTTGAACTTGTGTAAACAGACAGTAGACTGGCCTTGCCACAGCTGAGAGTGCGGGGCATTTAGACAGATATTTAATGGTAGAAACTTGTAACTAGTACCTAAATAAATCTTGGAAATTTCATGCCCTGTTCATATGATTATAGCCAATGAAACTGTATTATAAAGTTTATAAAGTTGCTGAGAAACTAAATCGTAATCATTAATAACACAAAAAAGAAACGATAACTATGGGACCTTTTAGAGGTGTTACCTAATGCCATGGTGATAATCATATTGCAATGTACAAATATAACAAATCAATAGTTTGCACACCTTGAACTCATGCGAATTTTATTTCCATTAATAAAAACTCTATGGAGTTTAGATTTGACGTTACTCCACCCGCTTGCCATGAGAAACAGTTCTTTGCAGCTGGACCAGGCCTACAACACAGACAATTCAACACACAGCTTGTGGTCCTGTCTCAACTATAGTCCTCACCCAGTACTATATCTTGTGCTCAACCAACTTGAGCTTTGAGGCTGGCAAGACACAATGGGAGACATTTTCGCTGAGAAGTTGGCTAGGAGTGGGGATCACTGATGATACCCAGCGCACAACTTGGTTACCTGCAGCACAGTAGGAAATTTGAAACAATGATGCTAACTGGAAGTAAGCTTTCAGTGCCCTACTGCCCCAGTTCCTGCAGTCATCAACAGATACAAAGGCATGAATCTATGGGGGGGGGGAAAAAACAGACACCTAAATATCCTATATAAAAAATCTAGGATTACACCATTTTTTATAGGAGTGATATAGCCTATTTATTAATGTAAGGAAACTCCCTATTACAGCCCATAAAAACTAAAAAATGAGAAAATCAAAAGAGCAAATCAAAAATACTCAAGCAAAAAAAGATATCCCTTAAGAAGTCTCAATTTAGCAGAAAAAATATTGAGGGGCCTCCCTGGTAGTGCAAGGGGTTAAGGTGCAAACTATGAAGCAAGCCACAGCCACTGCAGCACGAGTTTGATCCCCGGCCAGGGAACAACACACATGGCACAGCAGACCTCCCCTGACTCACCCATTGCTCCCCTCAGCAGTGTATTTCAGTCAATCTGCCTGTTCTGCTCCCCACTCTGTCTCTGGTGGATCCTCCCACCCCCCCCCATGCCTCTGGCCTGTACCCCAGTGCTTGTATGCATAAATAAATCAATCTTTCAAAAAAATAATAATGAATGATACAAAACAGGAACACCACAAAGATGGCAGAAATGTGACACTGCTACAACTAGAATGAATAGATTTAAAAAAAAATACTATAACTGTACTTACTAATAGAACTAAAGAAAGATATTGACACAACACAATATACTAGGATAATAAAGATAGATCAACAAAACAGAATATATAAGGAAACTAACCTTAATTGAGGAGACCAAATGGCTTAACAGATATCTATATGACACTTTACAAAGCAAAATACTTACTAAAAATAGCAGAAAATAAATAAACAAAATGAAATTTGTGCGCTCTCAAGGGAGAAACGAAGGGAAAAGCTCAAAGAACGGATAGATGGTAGGTGAAAAACAAAGAAAAAATATTGCTAGAAAAAAATCCTAATAATATCTTTACAGAAATAGAGCCCCCAAAATCTTAAAATTGCAGGGAGTCACAGAATAACTATAATAAGCAAAGCAATCTTGAGGGGGAAAAAAGAACAGAAGTGGAGGTATCATGCTTCTTGACTTCAATCTGTACCATAAAAATATAGTAATTTAAATAGCAGAGCACTAGAATAAAAAGACACACAGATCAATGGAACAGAATTAAGAGGAATCATCATCTTGCATGGACAAGTCACCACAAAGGAGCTAAGTGTACACAATGAAGTAAAAGCAGTCTTCAATAAATAGTATTGGGAAAACTGGACAGCCACTTGCAGAATGCAACTAAACCACTATCTTACACAATACACAAATCTTAATCAAAAATGGATTAAAGACTTGAATATAAAACCTGAGGCCATAAAACACAGAAGAAAACAGAGGCAGCAAGCTCTTTGACATCAGTCTTAGTGATGTATTTTCCAATAAGAAGAGAAACAAATGGGATTTCATCCAACTGAAAAACTTCTGCACAGTGAAGCCATAATCAAAACAAAAAAGGCAACCTACTAAATGGGAGAAAATATTTGTAAATCGTGTATCTGATAAGAGGTTAACATCCAAAATTTATAAGTAATTCATATAAGTCATCAAAAAAAAACCTGATTAAAAAGTGGGCAGAAGATCTAAATAAACATTTCACTAGAGACATATGGATAGTCAAAAGACACATGAAAAATTGTTCTCATCATTTATCATTAAGGAGATGTGCACAAAACCCATAATTAGATATCACTAGTACTTGTCAGAATAACTATTAACAAAAAGCAAAGAACAAGTATTGGTGAAGGATGTAGACAAAGCAGAATCCTTGTACACTGTTGGTGGGAACACAAATTGGTGTCAACACTATGTAAAGTAGTATGGCGATTTCTCAAAAAAACAAGAAAAGAAATATCATATGAGTCAATTATCTTACTTCTGGGTATTTTTCTAAAGAACACAAAACCACAAATTTGAAATGCTATGTTCACTCCTGTCTTCAATGTAGCATTATCAATGATAGCCAAGCAACATTTGGAAACAACCTAAGAGCTCATCAATGGATCAAAGGATGAAAATGTAGTATGTAATATGTGTGTGCATGCATATATATGTGTATATATATATAGTATATATATGTATGTGTGGATATACACATATATCCACATACACACAATACATACACACAATAAAACTAATCAGCTCTAGAAAAAAAACAGATGGAGTTTCACAATTGGTGAAAACTTGGATGACTGAGAGTTACACTAGTGAAATAAGTCAAATGAGAATAATGAACACTATAAGAGTTTATTCATATGTGGTAGATAAAGAAAAAAGCAAATGAACAAACAACAAAATAAAAACAATTTGTGTATTGTGACAACAGAATGATGATTACCAGAGGGGAAGTGTTAATGGGTGTTATGTGAAACAGACAGAGAGGTCAATTGTATGGTGGTGGATAGAAAGTAGACTCTTGGTGTTCATCACAATGTTGCACATACAGACGCTGAAATGTAAAATTATATACCTTTATATGCAAAATTATAAGCCAATGTCATTTCAAAACAATTTAATATTTGCAGAATGTTTCATAAATCATATATGTATATATACATAAAATGGAGCATTTGTAAAATGCTTAATATCATATGTCAACTAATAAAATGCTAATTATATACTATTAGGCAGAGTAAGGAGTATCCTAAATTATATGTAATATATAGTGATTTAAACATTTATTTTAAAGTATTATATGCTAAAATATTAGTATAGTATCACTGTAAGTGGAGAAATTACAGGGACATTAGATAGCGTGTGTTCCCTGAATGCTGTAGGGTATATTTCTTCCCCCTACTCAGTCCAAAGAAAGAAGGGGGTGCTGTTAGTACAGTTATACTCAAATGTCACCAACCTTAATGTAATTCTGTCTGAAAAGCAACTCTACAACTTCTCTTTCTGCATGTTCCATTGAACCATGATGAAATCCAATGCCCCTTTGTAATAGATCGTGCAGCTTATAGCCTTGTCTTGTTTCCATCAGTTTATTTAAGAGCTCCGTTAAAGTCTGAAATCACCAGAGTTTAAGATAATAAATGAAATTATGTATCTTTGACTTTAACAATGAAGTAAGAGTTAAAAGATTGTTTAGAAATCACTGCAGAGTTAGACACACTTTTAAAAAGAGTAGTTGTGTTTTATCCCAGAACCTGAAGCCTATCTGAACAATAAAATGCCTGATAAGTGGCATTTAAACAGAATAATTCCACAGTGCCTGGCATTCATGCTTGGTATCTGATACAGGGAACACAATCCAACTTCCTATGTGATGATCGTGTCTTCATTTCCTCATTGGAAACATACCCCATCTTGTCCCCCCTATGCACTGAGTGTTAAAGCATTGCTCCCAAAGTGTTAAAGCATTGGTCATAGCTCTAAGGAACTGACTAAGGGCTCCAACTCAGTTTGGGCAATGAACAATGAACGGAATAGTTACGAATTCTAAGAGATGGTTGAGCTCTGTGAGGCTAGCTCCAGAGTGCTCTGAGGCTAATTACCAAAACCATGCAGCCAAACTTCTCAGCTTTGACTGATTTTCTACCACCCCCACTTGTTCTATTTTTGCTGTTGATTTGTACCTATTTTAATGTCTCCTTTATCACCTCTCTCCCCTGCTCTTTCTTTGTGTTCCTGTCTTTCTGTGTTTATTATCTTTGTGTATATTCACTTTGTTTCCTTCCCCTATTTTTTCCTCTTTCATTAAAATCTCCTATGTCTGTTTCTTTTTGTCTCTCTATGTCAGTCACTGTTATTTCTTCTTTCCTTCTCTTTCTCACTTTTTTTCTTTTTCCCTCTTTTTTCTCTCCCACATTCTGCTTCTCTTTCTCCCTCTCTCCTATGAGTTAAAGAAGCAAGCATAAACAAGTAATGAGCACAGTTCTCTGACTACTACATGAATGATGATATTAACCAACAAATTTATGAGCACACATTGTTTAGGAGGTTCTAGAATTAAATTTTTGAAGGAGATGTGGGGTACAGGAGAAGTAGAATACAATAATGACTCTAGAGATACCAGTTTGAAAAGCTATGTACAAGGTAGATACAAACAGAGGAAGAACTTTCAGAAGACAGATGCATCTGACTTTGAGAAAGGTTGCTGCTCAATCCTGTAACTCAGAAGAGATTTTTCATTTAATTTTTGTACTTCCATCCACATAAAGAATAGTTATAATTAAATTAATGACGGAAATCTCACAAGGTAAAAAGGTTCTAGATGTTGGAATCATACCGCTGCAGGATTCTTCATGCTGTTTTTAACAGCTACATAAGCTTACACAAATTCTCTAAATTTCTCCAATCTCCAACTCTAGTTTCCCATCTATTGTTTCAAGGCTAATGTGCATTAAGGGTGTTGTGCACCTTTAAAATTGTGTATTGGATGTCAATATTGACATATACACATATTTTTATGGGCTGAATTGAGTTCCTCTTAAAATTCATCTGGAAAGTTCCTAAACTCCAGTATCTTAAAATATGATTGTATTTGGAGATTGGGTCTTTACAGAGGTAATTAAGTTAAAATGAAGTCATTATGGTAGACCCTGATCCAATATGGCTCATGTTCTTATAAGAAGAAAATTGGACACAGATACATACAGAGAGAAGACTGTGAAGATAAAGACAGAAGACGGTCATCTACAAGCCAAGAAGAGAGACTTAAACAGTTCTTTCCTCACAGCCCTCAGAAAGAACCTGTCCCACCAGCATTTTGTTCTTGAACTTCTTATCCTCCATAACTGTGAGAAAAAACATTTCTGTTTAAGTCACTTAGTCTGTGTTATTTTGTTACAATAGTGCTAGCAAACCAATACCCATGACCAAATTTATCTCAGTTTCTTTTCTCTTACCTCATCATCCACAGCTGTATCATCAGCATAGCTACAGTCTGGAGAAATTTCAGTGTGTGTTTCAAGATATTTTTGCATTTCCTTCTTTTCAGCCTTCGATATAATTTCTCTCTGATGCTTAGCATCTGAATCTAAATGTGAAGAACTGAATATAAAGTATCAGGAAAATCAATGAATATACTGGTTATAGCACTTATTTTTTTAATATAAGATTATGTCTATAAATATCAGGTAAAAAAATGTCAAATTATTCAAACCCAAAATACAATTACCTCTATTAGATATTTATCAGGCCTTAAATAAATTAAACCTAACTAAACTAAATTAAATTACTTGCATATCTGTTTACCATATAAGCATATTTTAAATGTACGCATTAACATGCACTTAACAGGAAACAAAAACAGTCTACTTCTCTTATCTCTCATGCCAAACAAATATTTATTTTATATATCTAATAAAATTCTATTTGTGACATTAAACTTGATGAAAAAGTCAATTTGCAATTTCTAAAAAAACATTTGTAATTTGTACTTCTAAAATAAAGGAAGGAGGCTAATACAATGAAGAAAATTATTTTAAAACATTGCATAATTATCAAAATATTCAACAGTTCTCTCCTGCATGTGCCCCCAAAAGTGAAGTGCAATTAAATTTATGTCACAAAACCATAAAGCCATATCTTCACATTATGGAAACAGATCTGAATTATAAAAAGAGCTGAACACTCATTTTTTTATTAAATATTTAATTTCACAATTCAAATAGAAACACTTACACAGCATCTTTCCTTTTTTGAGACTTCTTCACTGTCAATACATCCATGTTCAAACTTTTCTGTTTTTTAGAATTTGGACCATTATTAGTATTTTGCCGTTTTTTCAAATTGCGAAAAAGTTCTAAAGCTAATGCTTCCACTTCACGAATGTTGAATCTGGATTAAAAACATGGGACAGTTTTTGAAAATTGTGAGTTCATATCACTGTCAACCTGTTCGCTTTAATAAATAAATTTTTGGCAGCAATAATATTTAGGTAATATTATTCTGTTTATATTTATTTTGCCCTTTCAATTCCCAATTCAGAGTGTGTGATTAGAAGAAGAGATTACAATTTTCCAAACAGGCTCATTTTTAAATTATAATGAACAAAATGATTGTTTATGTAAGGGTTTTTTCTTTACTGGATAAAACTGCTTCCTTCTCCATTTTAAGACACTCCCTATCTTAAGATCACAAAATACTCCTGAAGCAGATTAGTGATTTGTTGTGCTCTTAGCAAGTATTCATTTTCACCTATTAAATGCAGTTTGAATTAGGGATTTTGTTTTGTGATACCTTTGATGAATAATTTTGTACTTCATACTCTGCTCAATCTTTTGTCTTTGTTCAAAGGTTTTCCTATTCATTACAGGTAAAATGAAATGCATATTCTTCCTATGGGACTTAAATGACCTGAGATTACTCATTTAATTATAAAGTTTGCATATTTATTGATTTTGTTTTTCCCCATTAAAGTGATACATTAAACTAAAGCCAAAAAAGATTTTTCTTAGCATATTTTATGCTTTTTAAGATAATAAAAACAAAACCTACTAAAATAATATTTAGTGATTATTATGTTAAAAGATGGCTGTTAGTTAATTTGTTCTGGCTAATTTAGCATTTGATATTTTAATCAATATCTTTTATAAGTGGATATAAACATTCATACACTTCATTTATATACATATATAAGACCTATAAAAGGGTGGGTATATATACATATACAGATAAATTATATAAAATTCATAAATTAAAGTAAATTCAACCCATAGTTATTCTTTTCTATCATACATATGATACATATGAGATCTATAAGTTACATACAAAATAGAAATGAGGAAGAAAGCTTACATAAAATCATGTACATTTTGTTCATAAGTTTCTCATGTGTTAGTTTGTGTAGGAGAAGGTCATGTTTGGTTTCAAATTGGGTGGAATAAATTAGATCTAAGTGCCAAGTCCTTCCCTCTTTTCTCTGCCTAGCATAACTACACTTTGAGACCAGTTCTTTCATGAAAATGTGTTGGAAACACCCAGGCCGGGCCTCCCTGGTAACTCAAGGGGTTAAGCACAGCATTGTGAAGCTGTCCGCAACCTCTGCAGCAAGAGTTGGTTCCATGGTCGGTGATTCCTGACCAGCCAGGGAGCTACGCACATGGTGCAGCAGACCTCTCCTGTCTTGTCCACTGCTCCCCTCAGCAGTGTATTTCAGTAGATCTGCCTGTTCTGTTTCCCACCCTATCTCTGGTGAATCCTCTCTCACACACATGCCCATCCACCCCCCACACCTCTGGCCTGTACCCCAGTTCTTGAATAAATAAATAAATCTTTAAAAAAAAAAGAAAGAAAAGAAAAACCAAGGATTGTATCATTATTTCTAATAACTAATGGGCTAGAGAATTCTATGGCACTAAACTATGCAATTAGAATTTGAAATATAATTTAATCAAAGAAGTTTTCCTTCCTCTCACACTATTATAGCCAACTTGGTACAATAATTTGACTTTAATATAAACAGATTTAAAATTCCTCAAGATTCTAATAATATGAATCAGGTTATAAATCCTTCATCAATTATTCTTTTCACAAGACTTCAATTCCCACAATGTAAAATATAATATATTAAGTTGAATTTCAATATCATATCCACAGACATTACTTACATAAAAAATATTGCAGGCAGCCTGTCCATTGTTTTCAGTTTTTCCACAAAACGTGGAAACATTTTTTGTTTGTCACTTTCTGCACAGTCAAACGTTTGCGGTTTAAGGAAATTCAGTAACTGATTCACCTGAATAAAATTATAGGTAACAAGCAGATCAGTAAATATTTGTAAATGTGGATAAAAGATAACATCAGCTGACATTTGAGACTGAAAATCCAATAGACAAAGCTGAGTGCATTTTCTATGGAAGAAGTTTAGAATTTTATCTACATCATGCACTACATATTTTTAAATAAAACTAAAATCTCAGAAAACTCACAGGATATATTTCCATATTATTGTAAGCAAGTCTGTATACCATTGCATAGTCTATTGAAGGGGATGAAGACTGTCACAAATAGATGTTAGTTATGACCAGGGTGCGTATGGGGTACAATATGCATTACTTTCACATAAGTAGAATTAACATTGCTCAGAATTCTAAAATACAAATCACAGATTATATGTCTTCCAAATTTGTCATTTTATTTTTTCACCCAAACCAGTATTGAAAGGGACATATTGAAGAATGTATTAATAACAAAACTAAAAATGGCAGTTGCAAACCAGGGTGTCTGGAAAAACCAGGAAACATGAACAAATAGTATTATTTAAAAGGAGAATTTAGCTAACTTCCCAAGCATTTAGGAGCCCAGCCCTGAGAGACATGACAGATCAAGTATTGAACCAGATGGTCTACTGATGATAGTCTTAAGCTGTGTGTAGTACAATATAACCTTAAGAAGAAATGAGATACAACTGCTTGAATTATCCAAACTATATGTGTCATTTTTCCTTACCTTTTTTGCTTATGTTTATGTGATTTATACAATTTACCAATTTATTGAATAATTAAATGCATCTTATAAATTCAAACAAGCTCAGCACAATCTTGTTATTTCCTCTCCTCCATCTGCTGCATCAGCCTGAAGAAGCCCCTCTCAGAGTCATCCATGCTATTGTGAGGTAGAAGTTGATCAACACCACAAGAAGCTGGAGATTTCAACCTTCCTTGCCCTGAGCCTGTGGCCTGTGAGATGACCTCCACCAGACCTCAGTATCTCTAGCTTCAGTAGAGAAAGCAGAAATATGAAAGGAAATCCCTGAGGTGCAGTTTGTTCTGCCTTTAAATAGAGGGCTGTTTTGTTTTTTTGTTTTGTTTTGTTTTGTTTTTTTTGGTAATACTGTTGTCCAATATTTTGAGAAAAAAAATTATCTGTTATGTAGTTATTCTGTAGACAAAATGTAATGGAAAGAGATATGTCAGTACAGAAGAAAAATATGGAATTTCCTGAAAGTTATAGTAATCCTTTTGAATGTGTTACCTGGACTTTCAAGACTGTGAGAGAAATTTTTAAAAAGCAGTAAATGAGAAGAGGATTTCTAATTATGAAAGGCACTGCTGGCTGCCATGAGCCATGTCATAAACTCATAAGGAAGGAAATCCTAGTGCTTGCTGCAGAGGGTAATGAACGGAAGTAGTTGGAGCCCAGAGGTTTGCTGCTTTGTAAGAAATTGTAAATTAAGAGGACTTCCCTTAGAAAATTTAGTTTAATCTAGGCTGGCATTTAAGTATCCAAGTATGTTGAAAGTCAGGTAATATCATTGGTACACCTAAGATTCTTAGCCCTGACTAAACATTAAAATTATAGATAATGTTTTCAATTTCCAGTGCCCCAGACCCTTGTAAGACAAATCAAATCAGAAGGGAAACCTGTACTCCTATGTTCATTGCAGCGCTATTTGCAATACTCAAGCTATGGAAACAACCTTAACTGCCCCAAGTCAGATGAGTGGATCAGTGTGATATATATACACAAAGAAATATACATACTCAGCAATCAAAAAAAGATAGACTCTTGCCATTTCAGCAGCATGTATGGAGCTGGAGGGGATGATCATAAGCAAAATAAATCACAAGGAGAAAGACAAATACCCAACCGTGGCAATTGTATGTGGAATATAAAGAAACCAAAGGGTCAGATAAAGCCAAAGAACTACCCCTAGAAAGGTGACTGAAGAACTGAGGCTACCCAAGAGGAGTTGGTGAAGAGAAGTGAACCAAATGGCAATGGAGTACAATGGACTATGGTGGTTGACTATGGGTATTTTGATGGTGGGTGCAGTGTGGTATGTGGGAAATCCTATTCTCATAAAAAAGTTACAATGATATAGTTATAATGATATAAATTATAATGATATAAACAACGAAAAAAGTTATAATGATATAAATCAATGTTACCTCAATCAAAACAAAAGGGGGGCCTCCCTGGTGGTGCAGCGGTTAAGCGCTGTGAAGCTGTCCACAGCCTCTGTAGCACAGGTTCGATTCCTGGCCGGCCAGGGAACTACCCACATGGCGCGGCAGACCTCTCCTGTCTCGCTCGCTGCTTCCCTCAGCAGTGTATTTCAGCCAGTCTGCGTGTTCTGTTCCCTGCTCTGTCTCTGGTGAATCCTCTCACCCTCCCACGCATCTGGCTTGTTGTACCCCAGTTCTTGCATGCATGAATAAGTAAATCTTTAAAAAAAAATAGGGGCCCACATGCAGAGTGCTTTGTCCAAAATATTTTTTAAAACACCAATCGAATCAGAATTTTTAAAGATGAGACAAAACTCCACAGGTGATTTCAAAATGCAATTATGTTGACAAGATTCATTGAACAAAATAGCATTTATGGCACTAAGTGGTTTTCAGACTTTCAAATCAGGTAGTCAGCCAAAGTCAGTGTGCAATTAAAATTTAAAGCAAAGCATGGGTTGCTTTTTAAGAGGAATGAGAGGACAGGAAATAGGAACAGATTGAAATCTTATTTTTATTAACTGAGCTTGTGCTAATGAAGAAATGATCAGATCTTAACCAAGACTTAGGGCCCAAAACGTTAAAATTATTTGCAATTGCATGTTAGTATATGTGAATGAGTTGAACCATATTGCTTTCCTTATAACTGTTCAGTTAATTAGCTCTAGGTAACTTTGGACATGTGCTACTGTTCATGCGAAAGAAATAATTTTTAAAAAGTGAATTATCATCAAGTTTTTCTATGATCAGAAAAAAAATGTCACAGAAAATATCTTAAAATAGTAAGATAAATAATGCTTCAAATTTCTCCTATCTAATTTGTTGGCAACAGTGAGAAAGTGGGCATTCACGTATCAAATAACTGAATGGTCACGCTTGGGGAAATACTAGCAGGGAAAAAACAAGGAAATAACCCAGTAGTGTCAGAAAATGGAGAACTCCTATCTTCTATGAAAAAAATTGCCCAACTTTAGTTTTATTATCTCACTGTGACTCAAAAAGAACATGGTACCAGCATGTGTGGGTTGTCCAAGCTAGAGGTCAAGTAGTAACTGTTTGCATTTTTCCACATGTAGCTAACAAAATTTAGGGTAAAATTGCAGTGCATGGTTATGAGATAGCCATCTTCAAATCCTCACGTATTTTTTGGGTGATTCACCAGTAGTGAAGAAGTCCAATTCATTCCATATTTTTTTTTTTTTTACTATTTAAGTGAATCTAAAGGGTTTTAATTACCTTGCTTGGGTCCCGCTCAACCCAACAAATCATTTCCTTTTTAAGTTCCTCTTCATATTTCTTCACATCAGCCTTTTTGATGACTAATTTATTTTTGAAGCAGCTGAATTCTTCAGGTTCTAATTCCTTGAAAATGAAGAATCACAAATCCCCAGGAAAATGAAGTCATCACTCCTTTAAAGTTTTCCATCTACATCACTATAAAGCAAATTCCTCAAGTGATCAATACCCATTTAAATTCAGGAACAAAGTTAACTGCTTATAAGGTGGTAGTTTTGTTCTCTATATAATGGTAACATATTATTCTGTTTTATTAGAAACTACTACATACAATTATTTTTAAGACTGCAGTTTGTTTTAGAGGCAAAAAATCAAATTGTCTAATATGTTTATTTTTAAAAAATACATTTTCTTCCCATTGCAATGCACTATTCTAAGCATTTTACAAATAAAAATTCAGTTAGTCTTCATACAAACTCTACGAAGTAAAGCATATCTTTTTTAGCAGGGAGAAAAAGTAGATAGAGAGAAAATTTAATTTGCCTCTAGTTTATAATCTTAACAATGAAATATGCTGCCATTAGCTATATCAGAATAAATGTGTTTCATCAACTTGCTCATTATAGATGAACTCTCATAGTCAAAGAATTAGAGATGTCATAGTGTATAGTGAGTGTGTGCATACACACACACACACACACACACACAAACACACACAAACCTGCATTCTTGGCCATTCTGGCCAAATGTGTACCATAGCATCATAAAACAGTATGCTTTCCCGAGGGGAAAATCCAAGGTCTAAAGGGATTCCACACTTCTTTATCTAAGAAACATAAAATAAGAAATTACTAATTTTGTATCTCATATGCAGATTTTTAACAATATAGATAATTAGCCATTTTCCAAAGTGGTTGATACTTACATGATTGACAGTAAGTGCAGCAAATGGGTGATAATGTTCAATGAGAAATTTATTATCCTTTAGGGAACACACATACTTTTCAACATCATTGTATCGCTCTTTGTGCCACACTGTAAATACAGAATTGAAAAGATCAATAAGATCTGTTTACTTTCTAAACAAGGATGTAATCTGATTTTACAACTGCAAGCAGACATAGGGAGAATTATGAAGGAACCCACTGGAAACAGAGCTATGCACTGGGGAAAAACCTTGAAATATAAGTATTCAATGTACTTATACTGTATCTGCGTATCTGTGCTTTACTTTTTTCCTGCTCATAGTCTTCAACTGTAGTCTATCACTTTTTTTTAATGCAAGAAATTGACATTATTTCAAAATAGATAATTTTGGGGAAATTTGGAACTTCAAGTTTAATACATCCACTAATTACTACCTGTGTGGATTTCAGTATGTTGCTTCTCCTAAGGCCAAGTCTCTTACTTTATTTTCTTTTAGGGGAAAATAAAATTGATTTCAAAGTTAGAGTAAGGAACAATTTGTATTAATATATAAAACTTTAATATGTTGCAAGCATGTCCAGAGCTCAAGAATTCTGAGTTCTTCTTCTCTTACGTTAAAATAGTCATACCCAGTCTAACTCTGTATGATGCAACAGTTCTTTTTTTTACTGGTTTCTTTGAACCTTTTGAGACATTTTGTGAAGGTCTGGAATTTTCCATTGTGCTCTCAACATGTTGCCAGTATCTTTTTGTTAACGCCAACCACCTAGTTATTAAAAAGAGAAAAGTATTATATTGTCACAGAAAAAAAAATCACTTTCTAAGAAAAATCACTGAAATGCGATTTTTAAAAAATAAAAATTTTCCCTAAACTTTGAATATATTGAAATTACATTTATATTCACATAGTTTACTCAGTTCCTACTGCTATATAATCATCAAGAACTGATATTTTGCAATTCCCCCATGAAATACACTACCAAATATAGCAGTCATATCTATTTCTACTGCAGGTATTAACCAATTTTGTAAACATTTACTGGTATTTTGCATAGGAAAGTCATGGGTATAGTATATTGGAAGAAGAGGTATAAACTGCCTTTGAAAATTCTCTGTGAATCTAAACATCAAAATATAAACAGGCAAATTAAGTAACTCTCAATAAAATTCTTGCCAGGTAACTGTGTAAATTACATTTAGTCAAAGGGTAAAAGGAAATGTTTTCTAATTAAATATAACTGAAGAATATAAGTGTTACTTTGTGTGTGGGTAGGGGGTTGTGTTTGTTTGCTTTAGATATTACCTTAAATAATCCATGAGTGGGTAAAATTTTCCATCTATCAGTGGAGACAATAATGAATATAAAACACAGACTTACTCAGTGAGATGGTCAGGATTACTGATAGTAGCAGAAAGTGCCAGAAAGGGACACCGAATCATAACTAGAAGATGTTCCCAAACTTCTGCTCCAAATTCTCCCCCAAGACAGTGAACCTGGCAAGATGGTTATATAGCCTCAATAGAAAACCAGTTAAAGTTTTCCCCAAAATGTTAATAGATTGTGTTGTCAGAAATTTCTATTTCCTTCTTCTCCCACATTCAGGAAAGTTTATTTACCCACTGACAAAGTGGTTCAGGGTCCAACATAATTGAGAAGCATTAAAGTAAATTTGAGGGCCTCCCTGGTGGCGCAGCGGGTTGAGCGCAGCGCTGTGAAGCCGTGCAGCTTCTGCAGTTTAGGTTCGATCCCGGCCGGCGCGGGAGATTCCCACATGGTACTGCAGACCTCTCCTATCTCGCCCGCTGCTCCCCTCAGCAGTGTATTTCAGTGGAAATACACTTCTGTTCCCCACTCTGTCTCTGGTGAATCTTCTCACTCTCCTGTACACCTGGCCTGTACCCCAGTTCTTGTATGCATAAATAAAATAAATAAATCTTTTTAAAAAATAAATTTGAGACTTCAACCATAAAATATCTAGAGATGACTTGCTTTATTATGTATTACAACAGGCTGAATTTTAAAAGAGTATTACATGCCATGGTAATAATCCTCAGATACAAGAATGAGTAAATGAAAGAACATATATTATCTTATTTACAAATAAAATATTGGTTAAATTATGAAGACTCTCATAGATATAACATCTCTAAAAGTAAAGAAGTGTTGGCACTAATCTCATCACTGCAATAGAAATAAAAATATTGGAAATAAATTAACTCCTCCTGTCTTCAGTCTGCACAGGTACATACAAAACTTTTTCAACGTGAGTTAGAAATATAGAGAAGCCAGGAGGCTCCTGCCTGTAATGGGGGCAAAATGAGAGCAGTGATTGACCATATTTATTAGTTTGCCACAATGATATACACAATTTCAAAAATATATGGGAGGAACAACTTTGTAAGGCTTGGTCTTAAATAAATGTCTGTAAAATTCTAAAGTAATAATAAACTTTTTAGTAAAATAAGATCCTTGTGCGTGTTGTACACTATATTTCACATAATAATAAATGAGGAAAAATTAAATAACTCAATTTCCAAAGCCCTGATTTTCCCTGAAGTATTTATCCTTTATAGATCGCTATGAAGCAGGCACTGTGGAGAGGTAAGGGAAAGCATTCAGGGAATTTTCAGTCAAAATAGAAGAAAAAGAAAAACACATATAAAGGACATCAGAAATACACTGATAACAAGATCTCTTTAATAAATACATGAGTTGTATTCATTGTGCTAAAGGGTGATTAACTCAGAGATAAATATAGGAATTTACAAGGATGAAAACCTTGCTAGGAGACACTCAGTATTTTAACCAAAGAGGCAAAAGATAAAATTTAATTTTACACAAACATTTTGTGGCTTAGTCATCAGTGCATACATGGTGAAAAGTAAATAGAAAAGTGCCATTTAAAAGAAAATTGGCTTAGAGGGATAGAAGTTCTCCGCCTAAAAAAAATAAAAATGCCTATTGCTAATCATTGGCATATCCAATGATTTTTAAGATAATTTTCTCAGTTACTATTTCTCTTAATCTAATATTTGTCCCATTTTTCTCCTTCCAAATATCTTGTAAATCTGCCACTTTATGACACATAATCTATGCCCTCCATAAGTGGAATTAATGGCTATTTTAATAACTACCCACACAAATGCCATCTTTATTGAAATATACAAGTTACATATTTTATATACATAAAAATATGTAGCCAAGTAAAAGTAATGTAAGGCAGCATACCTCATCAAATATGACATATCTCATCCTTTTCACCCACTTTTGATATTGAGGAGCTAATAAGAGTATTTCTAAACACTGAGGCACTGTCACCAATATCTGTTGAAAAAAATTCAGGGAATCATTACCTTGATTTTTTTGTAAAAGTTGCAGCTTTAACTTCTAAACATTCATTAAATATTTTACATGACACAATGCATAGGTTGACATTGCCATTAAAACAATAATCTCATTTGTGGAAAAATAAATTGGATTTATGTAATATATGTATTGTTGATACATTCAAAAGAAATTAACCTGCTTTCATTAAGGAAATATTTTCCCATACAGTACATTGAGAATATAAAAACATCACACTTGAAAAAAGCTGCTTCATGTTGAAATTTCAGAATAGAAAAGCACTTTACTTTGTATAGAAAATACAATTATTTGGATAGTGACCAATTTATTAAGTACGTAAATCATATAAATAATTTATTTAAATGTACATTTATTTTAGGGATAATTATAAATTTATTTTATCCTATATTAATACATTACAGTGCCTACTGGAATGCCATGATGTATGTTATTATTCAGTATGTGTGCATGTCTGTGACGTACCCGACAATTTAAGGCATCATTACGGTAATCTCTTGTGAAAACTCCACACAATGCCTTTCCACTGGGCTGTGCTTTGGTAAATAATTCATCGATAGTTCTCACCACTTGGTTGACAAGAGCCTTAAGTAATAAAAGACATAATCTAATATTGAGACATTACTAACAACACTGAAAAAACTTTTGAAAGCAAAGCAATGTCTGGAATAGTCTACATGCAAGATACCACAATAGCAATTTGTATAGTTCTTGATAAAAGAATTACTTTGCAGCAAATGCTTCCTACTGGCTCCACTTTAAAGTTTTGCTAAATATCATATTTATCATGCAGTGTTTATTGTCATGATGGCCAGAAAACAAACACCAACAATTCTATGCCACATCAGTGTGACAGGCGTGTATACGGGAGAAATTAGACGATGTTCTTCTGCAATTGTCTAGTTGGCTACTCAATGATCAGCACAGTTAAAAGGTCACTATGTTTGTTTAGTGAAAGAAATGGATCATATGATAGATTCCACTCAACATTAACATTCATAATCTCTTCTTTCAGACCTGCAATTAAGTCATAGGGAAAGCAAAAGGCATACCCCGAATCCTTTTCTAGGTGATGAGGGAATTCGGATTTAGCAAGAGCATGTTGACTTATTTTATTCACATTGCTGTAGCACTTTCAACAGTCTTTGATTATTCCTAAATGTATGTCCAACTACAGAGGTGGTAAAACTGAGGACTGCTACTTCTCTCTCTCCGACTCTTTCAAGAACTTGTCTATACTCTCTTAAGTCATGTAATCCTGGTACAAATATCAAATGTCTTCCTTCAGCAAAATTTTCCAAAGTGTTAGGTCTTGCCATATAATAATAAGTGTTGGGCCTATGAAGGTTTGAGTAATAAATTGAGTAACATTAAATAAGGAATTAAATTAAATTAAAAATTGGAAATGGTACCACTTGTTGATCATTATCTCCACCCAGACAATATATTAGGTGTTTTATATGTACTGCACATTTAATATTAAGAACAATCATATGAAGTAAACCTATTATCTTTCTGTGCAAGTGGAAAATTTTAGGTGAGAAACTAAGGAGAGCCAAATGTGGTTGAGGTGATCACACAGCACATTGGTACTCAAACCTGGGCCTCAGTCCTGGAGCCTGCACACCATGGTACCTCCCTAAGATTAGGAGCACAAGCTACCCTGGAGGAAAACACTGTAAGCCACAGAGTGCCACATGGACACAGTACCTTTGTTGGAGCAACATATACAACTACCCCATCATGACTCTCTCTCAGGATTTTCTCCATGCAGTAGTAAGAAGCATAGGTTTTCCCTGATGAGGTTGGAGCAACAATCACAGCAGATTCATTATTATCTACAACATCAAGGAGCTCCCTCTAAAGGAGAAAAAGATATCACATTTTATTTTGCAAATATAAATTTCATGTCAAATATAACATCAACTATACATCAGGCTAATTAGTATTTACAGTTTCTTCTGAGACACACTGGGATTTAATGGCTGAATTACAATTATGTATTACAACTATATATGTATTACAGTTATACAATTACAATTATATATATATATATATACACACACATCAATGTATTTTTAAAAGCTTGCAGATATATGTATATGTATCTATACAGGCAAAATATACCATATATTTATGGAGTCATTCATTTAACTGACTCAGAGGCATTCCTTTATCTCTTAGCTCAAGACATAGTATATTTTCAGATTATGTTACATTCTAAATACAGTGGTTTACATTTCCAAAATTTGTCACACACAATGAAATCAGAACCAATGGCTCCTATCAAGTTTTCCAGACTATGGATCTTTTCAATAAATACCTGCCATGGGTCTCCCTGGTGGTGCAAGGGTTTGAGTCTTAGCACTATGAAGCTATCCACAGCCACTGCAGCATGAGTTTGATTCCTGGCCAGGGAGCTGACCCACAAGGCTCAGCAGACCTCTCCTGTCTCACCCGCTGCTCCCCTCAGTAGTGTATTTCAGTCAATCTGCCTGTTCTGCTACCTGCTATGTCTCTGGTGAATCCTCTCAACCCCAGTCCCTCCGGCCTGCACCCCAGCTCTTGCATAAATAAATAAATCTTTAAAGAAATAAAAATAAAAAATAAATAAATACCTGCCACATGTCTGGTATAAAATGATTCACCCTGGGATCTGAATCACATCTTTCTTCTCGAAATAAGTAAGGGCCCATGTATGTTAATTGAAACCGAGCTGCTCCCATGTCAACTGAATATTTAGAAATATCCTTCTTGGTACCTGACTCCTTCACCTAAAACAAACACGACATATTAGATTTTCACGCTATTTCATAATTTTTTAATCTGGACAAAGAAATTATTACCAATCATGGTAAGATTTTCTTTGCTTTAATGAGATTATTATTTCATGTTTCTTTCAATATGAACAAGTTAGTATTGTATAACCAATATCAAAATAAGCAAAGGAGGACAAGATTTCTATTCTCTTTATCAATTCTGATACCTGAGACACAAATTATTGCTATATCATCATTGTAATTTTTGAAATGTCATTTTATGTGATCATACCATGTTTCGTAAGAATATAAGTAAATAAAAATTGAAATCATTTAATTACAAATCTGCATAATCTTTAATAATTCCTAAATAGGAAAAAATCCCCCCATACATAGGAAGACACAATAAAAGTGTGTTTCAATTAAGAATCACATCTCAATCTTAAAAGGACATATTTAGTTAAGGAAATACTCTCATAAGGATCTATATAATAAATACATATTATCTTAAAATTATTTTATTCAAAGAATTCTACCAATAGACAAAAAACTCTTATCATTAAAGAACTCACATATTTGACATGGCCTTTCTTCTTGAAGTTCTGATAACACAATTATGATATTATTAGCAAAGCATCGGAAAATATAAATGTTAATATTGAGATGTTATGGTTGAGAATCAACCACAAACATGCATTGAAATATTGATGACTTAAAGCAAGAAAAACTTTCATTTAAAAGTTGTCAAAAATAGAGATAAAAATCTTAACTACCCGTGATATTTTTCTATTTACCTTCTTGTTTAAAAAAAAAAAGGAGGGAAAAAAAAACCTCTAAGAGAAGCTTCTGGTCAAGCAATAACAAAGAAAATATCTTATTTCAAATCTGGAAGAGTTGGCTATTGTGGGGAGCCAATTTCTGTACATCATCATCATTTTTTTAAAGAGAGAAATAATTTCTTGCCTAGAACTTTTTTTTAAGATTTATTTATTTATTTATACAAGCACTGGGTATAGTTAGAAGCGCGGGAGGTGAGAGAATTCACCAGAGCCAGAGCGGGGAGCAGAGCAGGCAGAAGGACCGACGTACACTGCTGAGGGGAGCAGCGGGCGGCAGAAAAGGTCTGCGCGCCATGTGGGTCCCTCCTCTGGTGACCGGGGAGCAGCCGGGGATCGAACCTGTGCTGCAGAGGCTGCGGGCAGCTTCGCAACCCAGCGCTCAACCGCTGCGCCACTGGGGAGGCCCCTGGCCTAGAACTTTTAAATTTATTTTAGGAAAATTGTTTATTCCTCACTTCTCAGGTCCCTCAAAGGAATGAGGAAAACATAACTCTCCCTTTATAGGAAATAAAATTCTTAGAATATGAGGTGGATATAGAATGACCACATAAAGAGATGTCTAGCACATACTATTGTTAGATTTGGACTATGAGTTCATATCACATTCTGCCTTAAGATGTTTTTCTGCAGTCTAAGTCATTTCTATATCTGCAAGGCTGAAAAGCTGTGTTAAGTGCCAGGCATTTTAAGTATGGCACTTGGACAATCAAGATACAGGACCATAGCGAGCACTAAGTGTGATGGGGGTGAACAAGGCTCCCTGGCTAAGGTGGCCTCAAGCTCCCCAGAGAGATGCTACAGCATTACCTGAGGAGAAGCCCAAAGTCATCCGTGGTTATGGGACCGAGATGTAAGTAGCAAAAATGCATGGACCCTTTAACTTTCTTCAGAAATGAAAACACTAACAGAAGAAAAAATCTCTGTGGCGGATCAATATGAAAATTTGGGAAAGTTATGGAGTCATTTGAGGAAGAACTAGTTCAAAGAGAGTGGAAAATAACTGTACTTCCTTTTCCTGGCTAGTTATCGTGAGTTAGCTAGTATCTTTCTCCGCAATCCTTTCCATCCTCTGCTTTACCAAGACCAAGCAAAAGGACAAGTATAGCTCCCCTTCACACATGTATTCTCCTTATGATTCTCAAGGAATTACTTGGAGAGATATTTTGACATAAAAATATACTACTCTCTTCAAATGCTTCACAGTAACAGTTGAAAACAAGTAAATTTAAAGAGTGAGTATGTGTAAGGATATTCCTCAGAAATAATTGTAAGTTAAGGCAAAATTAAGTTTATCCACCTTTCTCAGAGTCAATTTTAATTCTTTTCAGGAAACTCCCATTTAAATAGACAACATAGGGCCTCCCCTGGTGGTGCAGTGGTTGAGCGCTGGGCTGCGAAGCTGCCCACAGGCTCTGCAGCACCGGTTCGATCCCCAGTCGCCTGCGAGGGTCCCACATGGCGCAACAGACCTCTCCTGCCACGCCTGCTGCTCCCCTCAGCAGTGTATTTCAGTAAGTCTGCCTGTTCTATTCCCCGCTCTGGCTCTGGTGAATTCTCTCACCCTCCAGCACTTCTGACTGTATCCAGTGCTTGTATAAATAAATAAATAAATCTTTAAAAAATAAATAAATAAATGAATGAATAAATAGACAACATAATTTACAAGCAACAATAGCATCCACAGGAGCATTCTCTCATTTCCTTCACCCTTCTAGCCTTTCTATTTCCTTCTTTCCAGTTATTTTAAAGATATTTAAAAGCTAACTGCATAAGGAGATATTTTAAAGCTATTTTAAAGATATTTTAAAGCTAACTGCATAAGGAGTACAGCAAGAAATAAGACAGAAAAAGACCCTGCTTCGTAAAACTGACATCAAATGTTGAACAACAGGAAACAAATGATAAAATCATAAACAAAAAAATCAGATAATGATACATGCTGTGAAGAGTGAGAAACAAGGAAATTTCTTAGTGACTTTGCTTGGGATGGAAAAGGAGGAGTAGAGAAAATATTGAGATCAGATGGTCTCAAGCCAAGCTGCCATATATGGTCTTTGGTAAGATGATGTTTCATCTAAAAGAGAAGAAGCATTCATAAAGAAGAAATAACTATTGTGATACTCAGTCAAAAAAAACAGATACAAAAACAATAGGTAACCAGGGATGAAATATGTGGAACCTTGTTTATTCTAAGTAAGATGGGCAACTCCTGTGTTTTATTTTATTCAGCCTGCTGCAACAAAAATACCATGAATGAGGTGGCTTTAAAAAACAAACATTTGGGCCTCCCTGGTGGCACAAGGGGTTAAGACACAACCTATGAAGCTATCTGCAGCCACTGCAGCATGAGTTCGATCCAGCCAGGGAGCTACCCACATGGCACAGCAGACCTCTCCTGACTCGCCCACTGCTCCCCTCAGCAGCGTATTTCAGTCAGTCTGCCTGTTCTCCTCTCCACTCTGTCTCTGGTGAATACTCTCACCCCCCACACACACTTCTGGCCTATACCCCAGTTCTTGTATGCATAAATGAATAAATTTTTTATAAAAAATAATAAATAAATAAATAACATTTATCTCCCATAGTTTTGAAGACTGGGAAGACCAAAATCATGGCCCTGACAGACTTGACTCAAGCCTGTCCCTCAGCAGCCATTGTTCCATTGCAGCCTCACATGGTGAGGGGATGAGCTAACACTCTGAGGTCTTTTTATAAGAGCACTAATTCCATTCATGAGGGTTCCATTCTCATGACTTAGTCACCTTGCAATGGCCACATTTCAAAACACCATCATTTGTATGCTCAGTGAAATAAGCCAGAAGGAAAAAGAAAAATATCAGATGGTTTCGCTCAACAGGAATATGGGGGAACCAATAAGACATCAGTGTAAAAAAAATAATAACAGAACAAAACACAACAAAGCAAAAACAGACAATTATAAACCAGAGACAGACTGCAGGGGAGGAGGAGGGAGAGGGATCAGAGGGAGGGAGGGAGAAGAACAGGGCATTGTGGTGATGGTACACGGCTACCTTGGATAAGGAGATTCTATGTGGACTCAATCTGAGGTGGTGGGGGGAAGCAAATATTGTCTAAAAAAATGTAAAAAATGATAAATGTTAAAAGAAAAAAATGAAAAAGAAAAAAATACCATCATTCGGGGGGTGGGAGGGGTGCTTTAAGTTTTTACATATGAATTGAAGGGAACATAGACCTTCAGACCTTAACACCTCTAGTATCAATAAAACATATATTCTAGGTAAATATAAGGTTTTATATATATATATAGGTAAATATATGGTAATTTATTCTAGGTAAATATATCCTATATGGACATGTCTATATAAGATAATACATGGCTAACATTTGGTTAATTTAATATAATTTAATACATACTAATTCCAAATATATTTCATAATATACTTCATGCAAACATACATACACACACACTCATATATATATGAATGTCATGTAATATTTCCTGTGGCATCTACCTGATGACATAATGAGTATGCCAAGTTGCCAAATCCAATATATTTTAAATATTTGGCTAATTTTTGTCGATGTGTATTTTGTAATTGTTCTGAATATTTTTCATGGATTATGTGAATCCTTTTCATCAAGTTAATTATTATGTTTATATCTTTGGACTCTGCTTCTGTTGAAATAAAAATTGGTATGGATGACATAAGTTAAACAAGATATTAACCAAGCCCCCAAAGCTGATTTAACTCTACTGTTCAGATTTTTTAGAAAGCATATTTACATGACTCATTCTTAATAATTGAGGAGCTCATAGTAACAATATTATACCGCATTTAAGAGTGAGGTCTCCTGAGTTAAAGTAGCAAATAAAAATACAAGAGATCCAGTTGTAGCATATATTGATTGGTACATATTAAATAAAAAGTTGTTTATCAAAAATTCAAATTTAACATGCCCATGTTTGATTTAAGAAGTTGGAAAATCACTTCTCTAATCCTCATTGTCTTCGTATGTATAGCAAGGACACTAATAATAGATCTCATATCACATGATTATCCTAAGGATTAAAGAAAATAATCATAAAATTATGACATATAAAATGACTACGAAGCTATTACTGGATCAAACAAAAGGAATTTTTTTGTTCTTTAGACATCAGAGTTCCAAAATCAGTATAAGGAGTAAGAATCAGAATATGTTGTACATATCAATTCTTCTGTTCTCATTTTATTAAGGAATTTCTAAAATTAGTATTTTTACATACCTGGTTTTAAACAGTTTTTTTTCCATAATTTGAAACAAGCATTTAATCCTGCCATCTCTGCAATAAATTTTACAGATTTAACAGTGCATGTTTGGAGAAAGTCTTCTAATTTTTTTATGCCAGAATTAAGATTTTTTCTAATTTCCTTTATAATACTTGGGGACAAGTTATTCCATCTTTCTTCCTCTTTTTTTTCTTCTTTTGCCAGCTGTCTCTTTTGATTTTTTTCAATATGTGTTCCTGCATTTGTCTTGAAAAATAAAGAAAAAAAAAATGTCAATGCAGCAATCAAAATAATTGTTTCCAGAACAACACATACTTTTGCAGGAAATATTTAGTATCTCGTCATTAGTTTATCATTCCTAATATGAAAGAAGCACATCAAATAGGACATTAAGGGTCTCAAGTAATTAATTGTGTTTCAAAAGGTTTGTAATAATAGAATGGGCAGTGAACTATTGTGGAAGACTATGGGTGTGTTGGTAGTAGGAATGGTGAGGTAACATACATCTGAAGGATATGATCCTGTATATCTAAATCACATACAGCACTGTAAACCAATATTGCCTCAATAATTGATAAATAAATAAATAAAATATGAAAGGGAAAATATCTACAGAGAAATATATCAAAATGTTAACAGTGCTTAACTTTGTGTGAAGGTTTTCTTAGAATTTTTAGTTTATTCTTTATACTTTTATTAATTTTATAAGCCTTTAAACAGATTAAATTGTTTTATCTTTTATGATACATAGTATTTAGAGTATACTTCTTATGACAATTATAAATTTTTAAGAGATTTTTTTCTTTTGCTAACACATGAAATCACAAATATATACAATGTGGAATATTGTTAATGAGAGTCTTACATGAAAAGAATAGAGCCTAAGGACCCCCCCACACCCCAACCATGACTGAGCCCTGTTAGATCAAGACTGTACCTGGTTTGTTCTCATCTTTTGCACAGAATTTTCTCGAGCTCGGTCTCTTACAATGCTTACTGATCCACTTCCTGTCAAAGATTTTTCAAAGGCATGATAAAAGTAATGTAATACCTGTATTTCTCTTCTTTTAGAATCTTTGAATTTGGCTAAAAACAAGCTATTAAAAATATGTTGACAATGCTATCTATAAATTAGAGTTCTATTAAGAGAGGACTCATGAGAAAGGCTTTGATACTAAATCTTAAAGTTTGCATTAATCTAATTATAGAAATATTAGTGACTGAGATATAGAAATTCAAATTATTGAGTCATATTACAATATCATGGATCCAGACCAGCTTCTTTTATTTGTATATTCATTTAATTACGATACACTAGGCATATGAATGTAGCCCATAGAAAAAGTCAATGATGATCTTATGCCTACTTTCATCCAGTGCAACAAAACCACAAGAAAAAACTCCAGCTCTATGGTATTGTTGATGACATTACTCATAGGGTCAAGAACAAATCACCTGAAACTTATAAAGTAATATAATGCAATGCTAATTTAATAGGAATTTTTTAATAAATAAATAAATATGCGTTATGTCAAAACCTTAATAACAGGGAAAAGTTAAAAAAAACTCTGTGATTCTTTTTTATATATCTTCTTTCCCTACTGGAATGTGTGAGGAGGAAAATATATCTTTCATGTTTCCTATTATACTCCCAGAAAATAGCATAAATCAGGGCACACAGTAGGACTCTATATACAGGATACATGCAGAACACGTATGTCAGAGATCTGCAACACTAAGCTGGTTGCCATTTTCCATGCCATAAGGAATCCTAATGTGTGTAAATGATTTTTAATTTTCCTTTAATAATGTTCCTATACCAGTTTGAAATCCAGGAAAATACCAAGATTATAAAACTATATTGGCCCATAATATTTTACTGTCCCAATTACTAGATTATTTGAATATTTAAGATATTTTACTCAATAAATAAAATAGCTAAATAATTTTTCAGAACAAGTAATTAATACAATTACTAATGTGGGCAAACATGACCAATATAACCTTATTAATAAAAACATTGAATCTTATTAAATAATACAACAGAAGTTTCTAACCAAGAAGAACAAAGAACTAAAGGAACTTTAAAAATAAGGGTAAATAAGCTAGTGTAGCAATCTAAGAAATGGAATCTTATTTTTCATACCATAGGAATTAGCTTTATCTCAGTTCTGCAATGAAAGGTGTTAGAAATTTGTATGGTAGGGCCTCCCTGGTGGCTCAAGGGATTAAGTCTCAGCATTGTGAAGTTATCCACAGCCACTGCAGCACAAGTTCAATCCTCAACCAGGGAGGTGACCCACATGGTACAGGAGACATTTCCTGTCTCACCCACTGCTCCCCTCAGTAATGTATTTCAGTCAACCTGCCTGTTCTGTTTCCCACTCTGTCTTGTGAATCCTCTCACCTCCCCCCACCCCGTACCCAAGTTCTTCTATGCATAAATAAATAAATCTTTAAAAAAAAAAAAGAAATTTTATGACATCAGAGAGAAAAGGAGAAAAGGATATGACAAATTAAACTTCATTAATCTTAGATGAGTCATTGCTTCTTATAGACACGATACAATTCTTAAATGAGAATGCTGAAAATGTTTCTTAATATTAGTTTGTTTACCACTACTGATGCACTTGGTCCTTTCAAATTCATCACTGAGAGGTTTAAAAGAACGCCAGTGTCTGCAGTCATCAAATTCTCTTCTAGAAAGATCTAGAAGAGCCATGTCATCACTGCAGAAAGAAACAAAGGCATACATTATAAATACACATGCAATTTTTCAAGTTGTTACTCTAAGCCATGACTTATTTCAAGGTCTCCATCCTGAATTGTAAATGAGCAAAACTTCTATAAAACTTAAAGTTTTAAAAACTTAATATATACCATAAGGAAATAATAATATATACCATAAGGAAATATATATACACTAGATATACTATAAAGAAATAATATATACCATAAGGAAATAATCAAGAAGTGGGAAGACTATTTATAGAATTGTAATTTTTATAAAGATAAAAACTACCAGTCAAGAATTTATTTGTATAGAGGATCAAATTAGGTAACAAATAATAATTAAGTGTGTATAGCCCCACATATAAAAGGTATTTCTGACATTAAAAGACTGTTCTGGATTATTTTGTCTTATGCACTTGTACGCAGGTACTTATTTCAAGGACAGAGAATAAATGGCACCCGTGGACCTACTAGTCATTCATTCCAAGATATTCATTAAAAGCTTGCTGTGCTAGTCTAAATGCTGAGGATATGTCAGTGAACAAAACAAAAACAGTGAAAATATAATCAACAATACTGTATTCCATCCAGTTGTACACCTAAAAAAAATCTTTGTGGAGTTTACATACTAACAGAGGGTTACAGACAACAATGACATATAAAGACAAAATATATACCATGCCACATGATGAAAAGCAAGGAGAAAAAATAAGGCAGATAGACAAGAGAGTGAGTTCTGAGAGAAGAAAAGAAATGGTGTAATTTAAATAAGATGATCAGGAAGGATTTGCTCAAAAGATGTTTGAACAATGGGTTAAAGGTTGTCTGAGTCATAATATTTCAAGCAAATATAATATTTCAAGCAAGTAGAAAGACTGTAAGGTGGGAGAGAACTAAGCTGCCATGTTCAAGAAATACAGCAGATAAGACACGGAAATGGCCTACATGCCCAAATGATGAATGAATATTAAGGAAAATGACATGTACTCACACACACAAACTGGAATATTGTTTAGACCTTAGAAATCCTGCCAGTTGTGGCAACAAGCATGGACTTGGAGGGCATTGTGCTAGGTGAAATAAATCAGAAAAAGACAAATACTGTATGTCACCTATATGTTGTATCTTAAAAAAAAAAAAGCTAACCTTAGAGAACCAAAGATTAGAATGACGGTTGCCAGGGTTAGGAGGTGTGGAGATGTTATTAAAGGATACCCCCCATCCAGATATAAGGTGACTATGTTATGGATATGTAATGTACAGTGTGGTGACTTTAGTTAACAATATTATGTTGCTTTTTATACATGAAAGTTGCTAAGAGAGTAGATCTTATATGTTATCAGCACAAAAAAGGGCAATAGATAAGGTGATGGATTTGTTAATAGTAACTGTACTATGACTTTGTAATAGTAACTGTAATAATCATTTTGCAATATATACATGTATCAAATCATCATGGTGTATACACCAAAAAGACACACAATATTATATATCAATGATACCTCAATAAGGCCGGTTGTGGGAAGGAAACAGTCCATGCAGACACAGAGCAAGAGAGCTTGGAAGAGCTTAGTAGGAAATGAGGTGCAAGGGAAGGGAGAATTGGATAGACAGAGGACATGAGATCCTTGACATCCTTTTTAATCTGAATAATTTAAACTCCTTGGAAGGTTTTAAGCAGAAAGAAGTAACCTGATACCTATATCTCTCCCTTCATACACACACACACACACAAACACACACACAAACACACACGATCGCTCTGGCAATTATGGTGAAAACACAGTGAAGGAAGCAAGAGCAGAAGTAGGAAAGTAAGAGACCAATTATGAAGCTATTGCAATGATGGGAGAGGATGGTAGATTGTGCAGAAGGAAGAAAAGGTTGTACTCCACCTTCTTTTGAGGGAAGAGAAGTGAGTTTGGTTGACATCTAGATATGTGCTAAGAAATAAAAAGAGAAGTCAAGGATGATTCCAAAAATTGTGGCCTGAGAAACTAGAAGATAGTGTGCAGAAAGAGACACTGAAGGAAGATTAAGTTCCTGCAAAAAAAATTAGAAGTTTGGCATTTACACATAGAGTTTGGGATGTCTCAGAGATTTTCAATTAGAACCAGGGATTCAGAGCATTGAATCAAAATATAATTTGGGGAATTCATAGCAAAAGGAAAGTTGAAAAAATAAGTTCAAAAACTGCTAGCAAAAAACTGATGTTTAAACTCACAACATTGAATGATGGAGAGAATGACCACTCAACTTGTTATATGCTAATGATTTTTCAGGTTTTCTTCAGACCTTATTTATTTAAAGAAATAAACATTGTAGATATATTTCAAGCCTCCTAGATACTAATCAGAAATATCATTCTTCTCCCTTCTAAAAAGTAACAGCTACTGCATTAGTCATGTCCATGCATTTTCATATCTGTCACTTAATAAATTGCACATAAGTGATATCACAGTACCTCATTCTTGCTTTGTTGCACTAAAAATATGGTTTTGAGATTCACACATATTGATATGTGTGTGGAAATTTTTTTTTACTCTGGAGTATTTTTAATGATTTCAAGATTCATGTACATAATTAATCTGCATCTGGTCTTTAATCTGTCTATCTGGCTGCCACCAAAGCGAGCCACCTGTTTTCTTAATTATGAACCTGTCATATCTATTATAGAATAAATGTTAAGGAAATATTTGTGAGGAATTAAGGAAAGTTGTTTTCAAAATATGCAAGTATATTTTTAAATCATAATAAACACCAAGAGAAAATTACTAAAATTCTCATAAAATTAATCTTCCTGTGTGAAATTTTAATCATATATTCACAACAAATACAACAATAAGCAGCTCACTATATTCAGTAATAGGAAAATACAAATGTCACAAACAGGAAAAGTTTTTTTTTTTATAAATACCTGTTTAGGAAAGATAATTTTGACAAAACATCTCCAGCAAAATCTACTACAAGCTCAGATTTCAGAGGAATGAGTTCTGATTGACGAATTTCTTGTTTTGACCCTGGTGGCAATTAAGAATACAATAAATATCTGAACATCAAATTCTACTAATAATCTGACATTGTGCTGCAACTATTTCTGGAATAGCAAAGCTAAACATCTGTGTCATTTATTACAAAACAAATAATACTTCAACTGAGATAGAATTTAATTTGAACTGAAGCTGAATGAATTTGAAAAATAAAATCAGGAAGGAAATCACCATGCAATCAGAAAAGACAAATATTTATTCTGAACCACAGTAAAAAATGTGCAATTTTTCTATAAACCAAAAGAAATATTATAAAGCTTATAAAAATTACCTCTAGTAATAAAAATTACCTACATTTAATCACCAATATTAAAATGGTATTGTAATAGAGTAACCTCTGCCTCTGATTGACATTTAAAAAGAAACTTTATATATTTCATTTAAGTCCTAATTTTTCTACATAAATAGACTGTCAAATCTGTCAACTACAATCTCCTGAGGACTACTTAAATTCAAACTGGTTTCTCCATAGGAAATTTGTAAGACAGGCATAACATGGAGACAAACACAATTTCACATAAATTCAAAGCTATTCTCTATCCTGAAATCACTAAATGACTCAAGAAAACCTTCCCAAGTTTTTATCTGTAAATTGAGATTGATAAAACCACAAGCAGGGCTTTTCTAAAACCAGACAAAGCACAATACATGGCAGAATGGGTGTTTCATAAATGTTAGCTGCTTCCTTTCCTGTGTTCTCATGTGTGTATGTGAGTGTGTGCACACTTATAGAAACAAATAAAACAGTGGGATGACAAAGAAGGTGTTTAAGTTGTAGACACTAATAAGGAAGACTAACCATTCCAAAAAACAAAACTTAAACAAAGGCCAGTTTATTTTCTGAACAAGTATCATACTGTCAATCTCTCTCTCTGTGCTGAATGAGTCAACATTTAAAGATTGTCAGTACCTCTAGACAATCCTTTCTGTGTAAGAAACGGTCTGGATGTTATTCTCACAGGAATGGCTTCACCAACATTGTCAATCTCTGATAGTGTCACAATTATGTCCCACAACTTCACATATTCCTGCATCAAAGTGTCACCCATTTCCAAGTTTGTTCCTATGTAGAAAAAGAAAATATACTCAAATTAATAATTAAAATCTAATTGATAGTCAACCATATTTTGTTTTACAAGTACTCAAGTTGTTACTTAAGTTTTCGTCTGTGAGTATCAACAAAGCTTAAAAATGCTGAATCGATTTTGGCACATATTAATGCTGTAACTATTGTTATAAGAAAGTGAAGCATCTTCAAATTTAGTTACTGGTATGTTTTTCTTTTTAAAAATATTTTTCTTGGGCCTCCCCTGGTGGCACAGAGGTTGAGCGCTGGGCTGCAAAGCTGCCCGCAGCCTCTGCAGCACCAGTTCGATCCCTGGCCGCCGGCGAGGGTTCCACATGGCGCACAGACCTCTCCTGCCACCTGCTGCTCCCCTCAGCAGTGTACTTCGTTGGACTGCCTGTTCTGTTCCCCGCTCTGGCTTTGGTTAATTCTCTCACCCTCCCGCGCTTCTGACTGTATCCAGTGATTGTATAAATAAATAAATCTTTAAAAAAATGTTTTATTCTTTTTATTGTAAAATCTGCAAACATACAGAAAAAGTAAAACAATGTGTTATTTTATTATAAATAACACTATTATAAAATAGTATAACATATAATAATAGTATAATAGTATCTAATAGTATAAAATAAATACTATTATAAAAATAGTATAATGAATTACATTATACAAATCCATTATTTAAGTTCAACAGTGAAAATTTTATCATATTTGCCTCATCTTTTTATCTTTTCTTCTCTGAACCATTTAAGAGTGAATAGTACAAATCATGTGACAGTTTAGCCCTACAATTCAGTTTATAGCTTCCAAAAATATATTCCCTTATAAAAGCAAATGTCACAATCACACCAAAGAAAATTCATAGTACTTCCCTAATATCAAATACCCAAACATATTTAAATTTTTCTATTATTAAGAAAACACAGCAGTTGGGTCAATTAGAAGTCAGTTTATGGCTCCATTATGGCAAATGGAGAGTTAAGAGTCCTTCTGAGGGGTTCAGAAGGTCTTTCTGGGGGACATACCCCAGTGAGGCAAATTAGGGTGCAGAGTTCCTACACCATACATCTCCCTTCTCCAGAAAATACTCCAATCTGACACTCTTTTTCAGTTTCCAGAGGAACAATGCCTTGTTAAAAATAATCGACACCAAAACTCTTGGGCCATTTTATAACACATTTGAAATATGAAAAAAAAAAAACATAATAAAAGGCAACATCACAGTGTTCTGGGATAGTTTCTTTGTTCCCTTCAATTTACTCTCCACTTTCCCACAAAATAGCTGATCATTAGCTCATTGTTAATTTTGAAAAAAGGAATTTTTACCTCTAGAAAAAATGCAGATGTCTCATGAAATAATCTGCTAGAAAACTTCCTATCCAATTGCATTTAACTGATAAATAGCCCATTGCCATTATTACTCAGACACAACTCTTACCTACCCACCAAAAAATGAACAAAAAACAACTAAAACATACCTCTTGTATATTCAACTTCATAGTAATAAGCAATGTTTTTCCATAACATATTATCAGTTAAGTCAGGTAGGCCACCAAAATCCACTTTCCAATCATCTTTAACCTTTAATTGCTTTAGGATGAAAAATCTATTTTTCATTAGCTGGGGGGAAAAAAGAAGCAGAGGGGCTTATTCTAATACAATAATAGCTCACCAGAATGTTGAGGTCTTATTTGTATCCCTCAATAGGATGCATGCCTTATACTAAGAAAGAAGAACTAGAGTAAATACCAAAAGATAATGACAATTTCCCTGCTTTGACAAAAATAAATGACTATGTACAGATGACTTATTATATTTATGTTGCAGTTTTTCCATTATAAAATAACATAGTTAAGTTATACTCTGCATAGTAGCTTGCAGCTTGAAAATGAAATTATTCTTTTGAACTCATCACAGCCCTGAGCTCAATAAATATTCCTTAATGGATTCAAACTAGAAAAGTGGGTATTTCATTGTCATTACTACAGAATTTTAATTAAAAGTTGTTTATGAGTAAGGGCCAAATAAAACACATTCACATACCCGATGGGGTTTCTTAAACACATAGTAGAAATGTCACCTGCATGCATAATGCCACTGAGTTGACAATGACTAGGTAATAAAATCAACAATGTAAACAGTTCTGTAATAAACATAAGTGTACAGGTGTTCTTTTGAATCAATGTTTTTGCATCCTTTGGGTAGATCCCTAGTAGTGGAATTGCCAGGTCATATGGTAGCTCCATTTTTAGTTTTGTTGCAGCACTATTTACAATAGGTAAAACCTGGAAACAACCCAAATGCCCAAAAAAGATGACTGGATCAAGAAAATGTGGTATATATACACAATGGAATATTATTCAGCAATCAAAAAAGATAAACTCATGCTATTCACAGCAACATGGATGGAGCTAGAAGGAATTATGCTCAGTGAAGTAAGCCAGAATGAAAAACAAAAATATTGGATGGTTTCACTTATAGCAAGAAAATAGGGGAACCCAATAAGACATCAGTGTAAAAAAATAATAACAGTACAAAACACAACAAAGCAAAAACAGACAATTATAAATCAGAGACATCCTGCAGGGGAAGAGGCAGAAGAGGGATCAGAGGGAGGGAGGGAGCACAGCGGACTGAGGTGATGGTGCACGGGCGCAGTGGTGAAGGAAACTCTATGGGAACTACACCTGATGGCGTGGGGAGAAGCAAATTTTGTTTAAAAATGAGAAATGATGCAAACAATAAAATTTTTTTTAAATTTTTTAAATAATTAAAAAAAGAAAAGAAAATGAACAAAAAAAATCCAATATGGGGAAGACCATAAAAGAAAAAAATAAGTAAAATCCAAAATGAGTCTGTCTGGAGGGGGAAAAAAATTAATTAATTAAATAAAATCAACAATGCAGTTTTACAAGTACACAACTATGCCTTAATTTGTTATGTTTCTTAATCTCTTGCAATGGCATTGTTTTATCTTTATGTAATTTAGTATCCCTTTGTCTTGCACCATCCTAAAAGTAATGGGAATAATTCTAGTCTTAACAGGATTAAAATCTCATAAATGAGATGATATAATGTGCAGTTTGATTAAATAAAGGTTGCTCCAAAATGCTCATAGGTTATGTATTTTTCTTGAGCTAAGGTATTAATCCAATAATTGCAACAGACTATACAAAATATCAGACTAGGTAGCATTATGCTAAATACAGAAACTAAGATTTTTAAAGATGCACAATAGCAGACAATTATCTTTTACATTCCTTTTCCTGTTTAAATTAATAATAAAATATAAAATGTAATTGATATCAGTTGTTTACCTACTACATTAATATATATGTATAACTGTCTATATATGTACATATATGTATGACTATATATACATATACATATAAAGCATTGTTTCTTTGAAGAAATTGCATGATTACTTAGAATTCTTAGGACTATGCATTATTTTATATGCAGTTGAAGTACTTTTTCTTGTTGAGCACTTATATATATATATATATATATACACAATATGACTATTTTTCCTAGAAACATGTATTGTTTCCTAGAAGCAGCTTTTAAAATACATACAAAAATAAATGTGATAGTACAAAAAGCAAGGCATTATGTATTCTACATTTTACCTTATTGATTTACAATACTTATTAATTTCCTGTGCTTCACTTACCATTTCTAGAAATGGTGTAAGCTTTCTATCCCAAACACAGGTAATGACCCTACTCTTAGCTCTTTGAGACAGAGGTAACTGTTGAAGGAAAATAACACTAAGGCAGTGCATTCTGCAAAGATCTGCTACTTCACATAGTGTTGGTATTTCCTTCAAGTCCTAGAAAACATGAATTTTAAAAAGGATCAATAGGAAATGTAAAAATTCAGATATGTAATAACAGTATTTTAAAGTATCTTATCCACAATTTTGCCATATGATAGATTTCTTTTCACTGATTTCATTTAAAGACAAATTTCAGTAAGTATATGATTTATTTTTCTAGACTCTACACTTAGCTGTTTTGCCTAGGAATATAAGTTTTTCAAAATAAACAGCCCACAAAATTCATTGTGATTTAATATAGTCATGTTATAAAATGATAGAGGATAGTCACCTGTTTGATATCTATTTAACTACAGTTTCAAAGCAACAGTACAAGAAAGGTAATAAGCTTTGTCACATCTGTTCCTACGAAAAAGACCAGGTCTGAATTGGAGTACAATCTGCATACTAAGCATCCTAGTCAATTTGTTTAACACTTGGTCATCTGCAAAGCTGAATAACAATACCCATCTTGTAAAATGGTTCTTAATATTAATGATAATGATTCAGAAAAAAGCTAGCTGTTATTATTTATTAGTAAAATCACCATCATTATCAGTATTCTTTAAAGAAAACAATGGTTCTGAGCAACACAGTAGATAGATAGTTATCCAGCTTCATCTTTTTTTTTTTTTTTTAAGGGTGAAGTACAGTATTTTTTTTTTTTTTTTTTAAGATTTACCTATTTATTTATACAAGCACTGGTTACAGTCAGAAGCGCGGGAGGGTGAGAGAATTCACCAGAGCCAGAGCGGGGAGCAGAGCAGGCAGAAGGACCAAAGTACACTGCTGAGGGGAGCAGCGGGCGACAGGAGAGGTCTGCGCGCCATGTGGGACCCTCCTCTGGTGGCCAGGGAGCAGCCGGGATCGAACTGGCGCTGCAGAGGCTGCGGGGAGCTTCGCAACCCAGCGCTCAACCGCTGCGCCACCGGGGAGGCCCTATCCAGCTTCATCTTTATCATAGCCATAAGTATGGTCATCAGCAGCACCATCCCTATCAGCTTTTACAAATGCTAAGTCTTTTGTGGAATACAACTAGGAAACCTTTGAAATTGATATAGTAAAGAAATTCAGGGATAACATGCAAAAAGGCAAGTCCAAGTGATACAAGAGAACTTAGAAAAGCTAAAAAATATTTGAAAAATTAATAAGCTCAGAAATAAAATCAGTGAATAGATGATATATAGTGAAACTTTAAATAAGACAATAATAGACATTCAGGAAGCAAACAGCTTGAGAAAGCTTTAAAGCAGAAGAAAACAAGTGGAAGATCAAAGCAATGATCTTGAAGAGAGTAATGCACAAAAGACCCAGGTGAAAGACGAGAAATAAGATATAAAAAAGGAGAAAAAGAAAAAGAAGAAACACATCAAGAACTATGGACTATCTGACTTTATTAAGAGAGGCAACATAAGTATAATGGGTTTCCCAGAAGGGGAAGTAAGAAATAGGAACAGAGAACTTATTCAACGAAATATTGAATTTCTTCTGGGGAAGAAACTAAATAAATAAGTCCATAAAACTAGATAACCTGGTTATCTAAGATAATGAGACCTGACCAAGAGACATAGAAGTGAAGCTATCAAGAGTTCAAAAGAAAGATTATTGAAGGTGACTAGACAGTTAAAAGCAGAAACTCTACAAGCAAGTAGATAGGAATAACATAATCAAGATAAAACTGCTAACTCAGAATACATCATCACACAAAAAAGAAAACTACAGACCAATATGCCTAATAAATGTATATGCAAAAATCCTCAACCAAAATCTTAGTAAACTGAATTCAACCCACATCAAAAAGATCATAAATTAGTATCATGAAGAAGTGGAATTAGTCTAAGGATTCAGGGATGACCTGCCTACAAAAATCGATGTAATTCACCACATTAACAAAAAGAAAGATAAAAATCAAAGGTCACATCATTAGATACACAGAAAATGACAAAATTCAGTTTCCATTTATGATATATAAAATCTTAATAAAATGGGGATTGAAGGAACACACTTCAAGATAATAAAGATCCACATCTAATATCATATTCAGTGGTGGGAAACTAAAATCTTTTCCTCAAAGATGAGGTACAAAACAAGGATACACACTTTCTCCACTACTGTTCATTATAGCATCAGAAATCCTGGCAGAGCAATTGGGCAAAAGAAAGATGTAAAATAAATCCAAAATGGAAAAGAAAAGATAAACTATCTATATTTGCTGATGACATGGTAATACATATAGAAAACCCTAAAAACTGTTAAAAAATAATATAGCAGTTTAGTGAATGGCAGTCTACCAAATATACAAAATAGGTGATGTTTTTATATGCAAATAACAAACTAGAAGAGGAAGAAATCAGAAAACTATACCATTTACAATCACATCCAAATGAATTATATACCTAGGGATAAACATAACAGAGGAGGTGAAAGACCTAAACAAGGAAAAATACAAGATATCATTTAAAGGAAATTAAAGATAATAGAAGACCCAAAGAGATGGATAGATATTCCCTGCTCATAAATCTGAAAATTAACAATGGTAGGACAACCATCTCTCCTAAAGCTAAATATACAGATTTATTGCAATCCCCATCAAGAGTTTGTTAGCATTCTTCAAAGAAATAGAGCAAACACTACTTAAATGTAAATGGAACCACAAAGGATTCCAAATTATAAGAGCAATCCTGACTTAAAAGAACAATGATATCACACGTCTAGATTTCAAACTATACTGTAAAGCTATTATAATTAAAACAGAATGGCACTGGACTAAAAATACAGAGATCAATGGAATAGAGCTGAGAACCAGAAATAAACCCACACTTACAAAGAGAGTTAATGTATAACAAATCAGTAAAGCATATACATTAAAGAAAGAAGGCCTTTTAAACAAATGGTACTGGAAAAACTCGACAGTCACACACAAAAGAATGTAACTAAGCTATCTCACACAATATACAAAAATTAAGTCAAAATGGATCAAAGATATAAGGCCTGAAACCATAAAAACAGAAGAAAACCGGCAAAACACAGTAACATTGGCCTCAGAGTTATCTTTGGGACCTTCACTCCAACAGCAAGGGAAAGAAAAGCAAAAATATACAAATTGGGGCCTCTCTGGTGGCACAAGGGGTTAAGACACAACCTATGAAGCTATCTGCAACTACTGCAGCATGAGTTTGATCCCCAGCCAGAGAGCTACCCACATAGTGCAGGAGACCTCTCCTGACTCAGCTGCTAATCCCCTCAGCAATGTATTTCAATCTGCCTGTTCTGTTTCCCACTCCCTCTCTGGTGAAGCCTCTCACCGTGGAACCTCTGGCCTGTACCCCAGTTCTTGTATGCATAAATAAATAAATCTTTAAATATATATATATACACACACACACACACACATACACACGCACAAATTAGGTTACTTCAAACTAAAAAGCTTTTGCACGAAAAAGAAATGATCACTAAACCAAAAATACAGACTGGTCCAGCTACAATGGAAAACAGTATAGAAGTGTCTCAAAATATTAAAAACAAATCTACCAGATTATGCAACAATTCCATTCCTAGGTGTCTATTCTAACAATACAAAAAATACTAATTTAAAAAGATATATAGTGTTACAGCACCATTGACAACAGCCAAGATAGGGAAACAGGTGTCAAAGGACAGATGAGTGGATTAATACGATATGATATATATACACAATGAAATGCTACTCAGCTATGGGGGAAAAAAATGAGTTGTTGCCATTTGTGACAACATGGATAGAACTGGAGGGAATGACGCTAAGTGAAATAGGTCATAAGGAGAAATAAACTCCAGATGTTTCACTTATGTGGACTATAAAGGAACAGACAAAACAAACCTTACAGATCTGACTATAGAACTGAGGCTTCTGGAAAGAAGTAGGGGGGACAAAGTAGGGAGAGATTCAATGGCCTATAATAGAGGATTAATTGTGCTTAGATGGTGGACATGGTGTGGTAGCATACATCTGAAGAAGTACGAACCTATACCCCTAATTCATAAACAGTACTATAAACTAACACTATCTCAATTTTAAAAAATACAATTTAAACCTATAAATAAAATCAAAAAGGTTATGATCAATGCATTTATTTCAATATTTAGTCAACATAGACATGACAAGCACACATTTCCTATTTGATAATGAGTTTACATCTATAGCTACAAGTTGTAAGCATTTCTACATCTTTAGAAGTAGCATTAAATAATTAAATTAATATTTGAAAGAATCCCACCTGGGTGCTGTCATTTTCTGTGTTTGTGTTTAGGTTTTCATAGTCTTGTGCATCAAGTAGCATTTTTTCATAGAATTTAAGTGTCACAGAGCATGAAACAGCACAGACTATACATCTTATATCAGCTACTTCTGGCCACAGGTTCTGAAGTAAGGACAAGGTTTCATGTATCTGAAATAAAACAAAAGTGTTTTTAAGTTTATGAGGGAAAGAGTGAAGTCAAAGAAACCCCCGCAGTTTTTGTACTGAACAACCAAAGGAACAGACATGCCGTTAACTGACAGCAGGGAGGCTCCAATGAAATGAGTTTAGGATAAAGGTCTATTTAAGCTTCGATAGCTTTGCAATGACTATTAAAAGTTCACATGGAGGTATCCAACAGACTGTTGGGGAAACTAAATATCCTGCATGTAAGCATACTGACTCCAGAGTCCTATGATCCTGGTTACTACATCATTTCATACCCAGGCTTCCAAAAAAATAACCTATAGAAGGGAAAACAATGTCAAATAGTATGTTTGGAGAAGTCAGCTGGGTAACATAACCACTGACTTAGGTCATGTTCCTCATGAGAAATAACCAAAGGATCAATTAACTCCCACCTACTAGCTACACAGATACCATTCCTCCCCAGGAAATTGAAAAATTCCTATTTTGTAAAAATGTGATTATCCAGTCATCACTGCACAAATTGCAAAAATAAAAGTTTGAGATCTTAAAATTATCATAGCAGTAGTCTTCCTCCTATTGTATTGTGTATTTTTGTATGAAACACCTACAGTTTAGTAAACAATAAATTTTGTCACAGTGCTGTGCAATTTGAAGAACATATCCCAAAGATGCAAGTCTACAAAATCAGTGAGTACATGAAAGCTTGTAGAGGAAGCATGTGTGTTCAAGAAGCAACAAATCATTAACAGCATGTTTCCTAGAGATTGAACTTTAGTTGCCATGTATTATTACCTCTTTCTGCAAGTCTTCCAAATTTAGTTTCATATGATCATACAGAAGTATTTCTGTTTCCTGTGACTTTTGGCAATAGTCTATTATGCGGTCGTGTAAGGCATGTAGTTGTTTCTTATGCTATAAAACAATCACATAAGTAAATCTGGTTCAAAAAATGCAAATTACAAACCTCTAAGTAAACTAAACACAAGATGGAAAATGACATTCATAATCATTTGGCTATAGAAAAAAACATAAAAATCAGTAAATTCGTAAAATAGACTTTCCTTTTGTTTGAACTATTCATTTCTGAGGTAATTAGGATATAAAATGCTATAGTGCATTTATTTTTAATAAAACCAACCACTAAGAAAATACAAGTCTTAGTATTAGTAGTAGTATTTTATATTGCTCCACACTGATCTTTTGTCCTATTTTTAAAATAAAAAAAAAAAAAAACCTGTTTAGTGAGGTTCTCAAGCCTTAATATACATAACTATCTATTTTTAATGGTGCAACTACTTAAAATATTTTCATGAATATACTCAAAAATAAGGGGCCTTCCCTGGTGGTGCAGCCATCGAGTGCTGGGGTACAAAGCTGCCCACAGCCGCTGCAGCACTGGTTCGAACCCCAGTCGCCAGCGAGGGTCCCACATAGCATGACAGACCTCTCCTGCCACTCCCACTGCTCCCCTCAGCAGTGTATTTCGTCAGTCTGCCTGTTCTGTTCCCTACTCTGGCTCTGGTGAATTCTCTCACCCTCCTGCGCTTCTGACTATACCCAGTGCTTGTATAAATAAATAAATAAATCTTAAAATATATATATATATATATATATTCAAAAATAAGATGGTAAAAATATTTTCTCTCTCTTAATTTTAAAAGTAAGAATACAAACAAAAAAGCATCCCAGACTCAACAGTCTTTAAGTAAGCTTAAAATATATACACAAAAATATACATGTAACATATAAGAGTTTATAAATGGGTGTGTATAGGAATGTGTGGATACACACATACATGTTTTTTATTATTTTTTTAATTTTTTTTAATTTTATTTTTTTTATAGAGGCATGTTTTATTTATTTATTTGTTTGTTTGTTTGATGGTTTGTTTATGCAAGCACTGGGTACAGTCAGAAGCGCGGGAGGGTGAGAGAATTCACCAGAGCCAGAGCAGGGAACAGAGCAGGCAGAAGGACCGGAGTACACTGCTGAGGGGAGCAGCGGGCGGCAGGAGAGGTCTGCGCACCATGTGGGACCCTCCTCTGGTGGCCGGGGAGCAGCCGGGGATCGAACCTGTGCTGCAGAGGCTGCGGGCAGCTTCACAACCCAGCGCTCAACCGCTGCGCCACCGGGAAGGCCCCATACATGTTTTTTATATACAAGACATCAACTGAGAAATTTCCTCTGTGGTCCTCACTTATCTTTGAACCCTCTGAATTGTTCCTCCCTGTTGTTCCCTTTACATTTATGTAGCCAATACTTTTCCTCCCTATCTCTCAAAATGGCCCATAGCAAGACTTAATCCTTTCTCCTGATAAAACCATATTAAAAAAAAAAAAAAGCCTCCCTCTTTTTCTACATTGGAACACTCCAGAGTCTCCCCACGCCCAGCCTTTTCAATTAAAGGGTATGCAATTGGTTAATTTTTTCCATTACTTTTTTTTTTTTTCTAGGCAATTTAACCTAACTTACCTTTGCAAAATATGCTTGGTGCAAATAGCTACTAGAGGCACAAAATCCATAAATTCTCAGGACATCTGACTCCAATCCCAAAGGTAGTACAATATTGATTTTCTTCTGAAGAGCATGAAGGATAAAAATGTGTAAAAAATCTGTTTGATGAGGTGTTAGTCCCTTTTCTAAGACAATTAGGTAAAACGGATAACATTCTGTAAGAAATATTTCCCATTCTGGAGACAGGCAATTGGAAAATTCTGTACGAATCGTGACATCAGTATTTTTCTCTAAATGTTGAATCAGTGTGGTACGAAGGGCCTGGAGTCCGGGGGATTTAATGTATAAATTTCCGGCATCCTGTAGAAAAAGAAACAAATGTTAACCTTAGAGATAAAACAGAGTAACTAGAAATTTTCCTAAAGATTAGTATTGTGTATAAATTGTATTAACATGATACAGAAGAAGTTCAAGGTGATTAAAATGTATTTTTCAGCTTCCTGCAGAAATGTTTATAAATATTCACTCACTAATTTCCTATTGATATACATTGTATAATTTCCTACTAATAAAAACTTGAGATATAATTTTGCTGAGAGAAAAAAAGAGTAAATGATAAAATTTTTAAAAGATTATTAATTTTTTTCTCAGACTCTACAAGAGTGGAAAATTAAATGCTTTTTACCTTAAAAAAAACTACAACAAATTTTGCGTCCTTCTGAATAAAATCATGCAGAAATTTTTCCACAAGATAGAAGAAGTGAAGAGTTTGTCCTCTTTTTAAGGTCATATTCGAAATACAAGCAACGAATAATGAATCTCCATCAATCAAAAAAAATTCAGATTCAACAAAGTCTTTAAGCAAGCTAACCATGCTGAATAAAAACATAAAACACATAATGCAAATTTTTAAAAATGATAATTTGAGAGATAATTTCACATTCAATTGGTTATTCAAATTTTCTTCTAGCTTCAGAAATTTAAAGAAAAACAATTATAAAATTCCATATTTCAGTAACAACAATCCAAGGCATTCCCATCTAGTAATAGAATAATCCCTCAGCAAAAGATCTGATTTATTCTACAGAAAACTGCATTTTACTGGTGTAGGAATAAATTTATGCAAAAAGTGTATCCCATATTTTAAATTTGGATACTGACTGTATTTGTACTTTAAGTGTGAACAATTAAAACAATCATTATGGGGCTTCGCTGTTGCCACAAGGGGTTAGGCACTGCACTAAGAAGCAATCTGCAGCCTCTTCGGCATGAATTCGATCCCCGGCCAGCCAGAGAGAAATCCACATGGCGAAGCAGACCTGTCCTGTCTCACTCACTGCTCCCCTTGTTAGGGGGAAAAGGATGTCCCAAAGCAAATTCCATATAGGCTTTGTGGACTCCACCCCCACCCCAGGTCAAAGCCAAAGACACTGGGAACTCCAAATCCCATCACCACCAAAGGGAAGGTGGCTGGGACCTGAGGGTGGGGTTAAGCAGCCAGGTGAATACAAAAGGCAGACACGTGGGCTTTGGGGATTCCCCCATTTTGGCTCTCCACCAGCTTGCAGCGTCCAGCCAGCTCGGAGAGTGACTTTGGGTTTCCAGGTCGTCGGATCGGGTAGGACGCATTAAAGACTTTATTTCCCTATTTTCTCCCTGAGTTGTACATTTTCCTTATTTCTTTTTCTCTTGTAAATAAACCTTTTATTAACCCTTTTGTGTGTGTCTGTAGTAGAGTATTCATAAGTCCCTTTAAAGCGCGCTGGTGAGGACCCACAGCCAGGAACCCGTTTAATATCGGGTTGCTCTATAACACCCTCAGCAGTGTATATCAGTCAGTCTGCCTGTTCTGCTCCCCACTCTGTCTCTGGTAAATCCTCTCACCCCCCCACATCTCTGGCCTCTACCCCAGCTCTTGTATGCATAAAATAAATGGATCTTTAAAAAAATAAAAATAAAACAAGTATTATCTTTGGTCAAATATATGCATGAAAGCAGCTCATTTTTGTTGTTTTTTTTTTTTAAGATTTATTTATTTATACAAGCACTGGGGTACAGGCCAAAGGCAAGGGAGGTTGAGGGAATGCACCAGAGACAGAGCAAGGGAGCAGAACAGGCAGAAGGACTGAAATACACTGCTGAGGGGAGCAGCAGGCGAGACAGGAGAGGTCTGCCATGCCATGTGAGAATCTCCCTGGCCGGCAGGGAATCAAACTGAGACGTGGAGGCTGCGGACAGCCTCACAGTGCTGCCCTCAACCCGCTGCGCCACCGGGGAGGCCCTCATTTTGTTTTTAAATTAATGAAAGATAAACAGGTGAGAACTCTTCACTGAGGGCCTCCCCGGTGGCACAGCATGTTGAGCGCAGCGCTGTAAAGCTGTCCTAGGCCACTGCAGCATGGGTTTGATTCCCGGCCGGCCAGGGAGATACCCTCAAGGCACGGCAGACCTCTCCTGTCTCTCCCGCTGCTTCCCTCAACACTGTTTTCGGTCCTTCTGCCTGTTCTGCTCCCCGCTCTGTCTCTGGTGAATTCTTTCACCTTCCCGTGCCTTTGGCCTGTATCCCAGAGCTTGTATAAATAAACAAATCTTAAAAAAAAAAAAAAAGAACGCTTCACCCAAACCAAAATATACTTCCCAAAATATACTTCCCTACATTTCTCCTTGAGGGCAACCACAGCCTTGAATTGTTTTCATCATTGTCTTCCTAAACTTTTAAGTGTTTATAATGATAAATATTTGCCTGGTTTTGTTTCATTATTAAAACAACATCTTATATGTGTACTCTGAAACTTTTTAAATGTGATCACCAAATGCTATTAAAATTCTAGCATATGGTTACAGAAGGCTACACAGGAATAACTTTATTGCTGCATAATATTCAATTATATGTATACATCATAATATATTCCACATCTTTCTCTTTTCTTTCCTTTTTTTTTTTTTTTGCTATTGCAAACTATGCAGCAAAGGTCATTTTTGTGGATATATTCTAATGCACGGGTGAATTCTAGGGTATAGACATACAAATTACCAATTTCTATGTTATAAAGTCATACCAAATAATTTCCCGAAGCAACTGTATAGAATTACACCTGTATTAGCAGATGTCAGAAGTTCAATTCTAACATCTGCTATTGTATAAAACATGAACAACATAATTTACCCAATTTGTAATTGTTTTGACTAAGATTCAGGAAAATATGACATGCTGCTGTTTAAAAGCTGAAATATTGCAGAGATGTATTAATTCCACTGTGTATGCTTTCAGATTTACTCTGCATATTCTAACACATAATGTAGTACGTCATTCTGAAGTCAGGCTACCTAGGTTTCGATTCCTAGATCTATTACAAATTCTAGGACTTGAATTAGTTGCTTTCCTATCTTGTGCTCCAGTTGAGAAATGGGCTAATGCTTCATATTGTTGCTGTGAAAATTAATGAAATAGATATCTAAAAATTGGTTAGAACCAAACTGTGCTTAGGTCATATGTGCTTATTTTAAGTGATGTTTTAGAATTTTTGTTTTATTTTGAAACTGTAGTCCATAGATATTATAGTATATCTTACAATAGTTTAGAAAATAGAAATATGGAGATAAATGCCATAACATTAGGCATAACAAATCACATACGGCAGATTTTTTTTCTTTCTTTACTATTTTATTGCTAGTATCTAGCATATTAACAGGCACCGAAAAATAATTATAAAGAGAATGAAATAATGCATTCATTTAGGGTATTCATCCTGGACAGTATTACATAATACTTTGACATGAGTTAAAATATACAAGATAATTTTGTGAGATTTGCATAATTTTTTGATATGCGACATGATGCCAATTGAATTGATACATTAATCTTGCAATATTCAAAAGGAAGTTGATCTTTTTTCTACTTATAACTTCAAAGTTTTCTGTGTCTTATTTCTTGTTCCTGAAAAGACATACACCATACCCTTTCCCAGGAAAAGACAATACCTATTTTCAAAAATAGAAATGTCTTGCCAAATTGGCAGTTTCTACAAGATGATTCATAGCAAGAAGAAATTTTAAAATATGCCATACATATTAAATTAATTACTTCTTTGACTAGATTACTTACGTAGATTTTAATAGAGTTTTCAAAATCAATGATGAGAGGTCTGGTGGAGTTAACCCACAGTCAGCCAGTCCTTTAAAAATAAAAAACAAGGACTTCATATTCAATTTTAAATTAATCCCAATTAATGACTGCTTTAACTAATTTTGAGTATTTATATTTTATACATATATATACCTACAATATTCAATAATATAATAGTCCTATAGAGTCATATGAGAAACTTGTTAAAATTTATCATTCTTAGTCTCTATCTCCAAGGATTCATTGATCCTATTGAACTGATGAAAAGTCGAAGACTCTATATGAGAGGAAAAATCATATACAGATAAAGCCTCACCTGATTTTCCCAAGCCTTGGCGTCTAATATCTGTGGCTTTATTGTCTTTACTGATTTCAGACTTATATGGTGATTGTCTAGAATCTAGATCTTCTGAGTTTAGAAGAGAGTCTTCAAATTCGTCAAATGATGATGAACTCTCTGAGCTTTCACAGTCATAGTAGTTTTCACTTTCAGTATCACTTTCACTGTCACTGTCACTGGTACCAGGGGTTAATTGTCTGTTCAACAAAGTATGTGCCGAAGCCATGATCTATAAAAATAAAGATTTTAATTATTGTTTTATTTAAAATACCTTATCACAATATAGTTTACTCCTTTGAAAGGCAAAAGATGTTTGATTACTCTCTCTCTAAATCTCCTCAACCCCTAGTTTGCTAATGAGGATAATTTTTCATTATACTTTCCCCTAACTTCTTTGCAAGGAAGTAGCAAGGGAAGGTAGAGTTTCATGGTAGGGCAAAACACGTTTCTGAAAAAAATACAGATAGATATAAATATACAGATATACATTTAAGAAGACAAAAAAGTACATATTTAAGCAGTACCTGCTCCAAGACTCTCGAACACAGTGAAAAGCTCCCCAATTCCTCTAGCTAGCAAAGTGATATCTTCCTCCTTTATAGAGGGTAATAGCCTCTGCTTTCTTGGAAACAATTTGAAAACTTTACCTAAAGTAAGTATATCACAAGCAATATTTATTTCCTTGATATCAGTCCCTACCGTTTCAGGCAGTTAACCAAAGTCCACATTTTACACAGCCTGTGGAGAGATATTTGGTCTGTGCCAGGAGGAAAGAGATTAGATGCCAAAAACAAACAACAAACAGAAATGGTTGATATGTATGTTCAGGAACCAGGGAAATATGTATGGAAGTAGATTTTGAAATTATTAGCATGTGGGGAGCAAATGAAAGGGCAAAGGGCATAATTCATTGATATCAGATAATGATGATCTGCTAAAGAACTTAACCAGGTGGGCTCTAATCAATCATTCCTATTTTCTCAACATTAGTATCATGACTGAACCAAAACTTTATAGCCTCAGATACTATACATGGAGCTTTAGAACTGGTAAATGCATTTGTTTTTAATCTCTTTCAATCAGATCAAAAGCAGTTAGCACCTGCCTAGAAAAAATACTAATTTGTCTCAGGACTCAAATTTCCTGCCCTCTCTCAAAATCTGTACTCTGATCTACATGAGATTCCAGCGATTATCTTGGTAGTTTTCCATACTGATCATATCAGGCACTATTAAAGTACATGTTTTAATGCTCAATTTTCTATTGCCACCCTAATTCATAACTACTTGTGCACCAACCACCTCTTCCTCCCCCTAACATCTAA